AATTGATATCCTGGTTTCCTCCAGGCATGAAGCTGAGTAAATGTTGTTTTAGTTATATTGCAGATATTGTAGGTAATAGAGGATTAATGTAAAAGGACTAAAGTATCTAACCCACCTTATTCTTCTCTGCCAGTATGCTCTCTGCATCCAACCCAGTGAGGCTGGTTCCTTTCTGGTCTCCTTTCACAGCCACTTTCTCTCTGTCTTGTCTCTCTGATTTGTTTCTTTTGTAGTAGCATGGCGTTGCTCTTGGCTCTGCATAGCAACCAGCTGTAAGCTTGCATAGTCAGTTCCAAAAACACAGGAAAATAGTGGATAAATAATTCTAAAGTCGTAGTGTCATGGTTTAACCCTTGCTGGGAATTAAGGATCACAAAACCTAGCAGGTTTACATAAGTAAAATTTAATCATTAAAATAACACAACAATAATAATAATATTAATAATAGGCTAGAAATAAATATAGAATAGTACTAATAATGAATATAACAGTGCTAAATATGCTAATAATAATAATAACTGTTAATAATAATGATAGTGATAAGTAGAGGGAAAGAGAGTGCCAAAACTGACAGAAACAAGCAGGTTGGTCATGATTTGTGGACCTATGCTCAGTTTATCCTCCAGCAGTGACTGGGGAGTGCTTTGCTTGGATAAGTTAGAAACTGGGTGTTACTGTTTGTTGTGTTCATGCTTAAGGTAACCAGTCACACAGTATTTTATCTGCTAAGAACCACTAATGACAATTTCAGGTATTATTACAGAAGAAACTTAGAAGGTTTATTACATAACTGCATCATTAATAGAAAACAAGCTATATATATAATCACTGTGCAAAGAGCAAATCTTTCATTATCCCTTAGTGTTAAGAGGTAATTTAAATTTTTTTTGTCTTTGAGGTGGAATTAGTTTGCTTTGCTTTGTTTTTTACTTCTTTTTTTTTTTCTCATCAGGTTTCATGGGATGCAGGATTCCCTGTCACGTTTTTATCCTGGTTTTCACCTACTGTCTTTGACAATTGAGTGTTTGTCCAGTTCACTGACCTTCATATCAAAAGTATTTTTCATTCAATATGTTTTTGCATCCTATCCCTAGCAGCTAACAAATCCTCACTAGTCATGTATGTCATCGGGAACTGTAACTCATATTTTCTAAGGTATTGTCTTTCTGAAGCAATTATTTAGTCCCCAGTGATAGCCTCCTTTGCATTGTAACAGTCACCTGTTAATTCTTATTCTAAGGTTTGTATAAGAATTGGCTATTCATGTCCATGTGGATCAGAGATATATATCAGAAAGAAACCTTTTCTCTCATTGCATAATAGTTGATGGAAGATGTGAAGGCCTGCTAGACCTAGTGATAGACGCAAGTGGCTGGGGTTTTTCCCTTTCTTTTCCTCAGAGTCTTGTGTGATAGGATCATAGAATACTTTATGTTGTCAGGGACCTTTAAATGTCAAGTAGTCCAACCCCTTGGCTTTGGGTAGGAACATCTGCAGCTAGATCAGGTTGTGCAGAGCCTAGCCCAACCTTACTGGGGATGGGGTCTACCTCTTCTCTCGTCCAGTGTTCCACCACCCTCATCATAGAATAATTCTTCCTTATCTAGTCTGAATATATGATTTTTCAATTTAAAACAGTTACTGCTTTTCTCGTTGCTACAGGGCCTATTAAAAAGTGTGTCCATCCTCCCTTTAAGTACTGAAAGGCCACAGTGAGGTCTCCCTGAAGCCTTCTCTTCTCCAGGCTGAACAACCCCAGCTCTCCAGCCGTTCCTCATAGGAAGAAGGCCCTACTCAGGGCCTGCTCCAATATGTCTGTGTCTTCCTTGTACGAAGGACCCTAGAGCTGGACATAGTACTAAGAGTGGTGAGGTCTCACGAGAGAGGAGTAGAGGGGGGGAAATCACCTCCCTTAACCTGCTGGCCATGCATGTTTCTGACTGATGTTCAGCCTCTCATCCACCAGCACTCCCAACTCCTTCTCTTCAGGGCTGGTCTTGATCTGTTCATCACCTAGCCTGTGTTCAAAGGGGGGTTGCCCCAGCTCAGGTGCAGCACTTGGCCTTGATCTTGATTGTTGTGTACCCACAGACAGGATGTACAGGCTCCATACATCGGTTTAAGAACTGGGGAAAGAACTCCAATAATCACAACAGCAAACACGAATTCATTTTCAGTGTTGTGGAACTCACAATGAGGACTGCATTGCAGGCACTCGAGAATTAGGAGCAGAGGAGCAGTTCCTGGAGGAAGGGAGAGAAGTCTTTCACAAGGAGATACATCACAATGCACAGGAAGAGCAGTGTTTTAACAGCTGTTACTGAATAGCTGTTTAGAGGCACACACGCAAAAATTTGCTTCTTTGTCTCAATAGCTGGAACTCTGTGTCTTGCAACATTCTTATCATTTGCCACATTCCTATAATTTTCTCCCTCCTATAAAATGAACTCTTACTTTCCTAGACGAGTTTAGCATATTGTAGACCTGGCAATGGTATAGGAGTTTAACCTTGATGTAAATTTGAAAAGCTATTTTGTTAAGGTTTTTTGAAGAAAATTTGTTACTTTCATATCTCTGAAGGATATGAAAAGCATATAGTTCTTTATTTTTAAAGATTTTTATAAATGTTTTGCAGCATAAATTTGACACAATTGAAATATAAAAGCAAAGACATTTATTATAAAATTTAAATGTGTATGAAGATGAAAGTAACATTAGTTTAAGTCTTTCTTTCTGTTCTTGTATCTCTAACTATGAAAAACATTATTTTCCTCAATGGCAATCTTGCATGCGTGTCTATGTGAGGAAGAACGAGTTCAGATAGGTTACCTGAACCTTAATGACAATTTTGACCTTTATTCTATGTAAAGTTTTGGGGAAGTATGATGATAAAATTATACACAAAGCAACAGAGAATGTGCATCTTGTTTTTCTGTGTTTGGAAATAGGCTTAGTCATCTTTCTTTGACCATCACTGTAGTGCTATCATCTACATATGCTTTTATTTAGTCAAAGAAGTGTTTCATATATCAAATTACAAAATATCCTAGTTAGTTTGCACTCTGAAGACCCTAATTATGTTGCTTATTTGCAAAGAACATTTAACATTGTCTACTTCTAAAAAACTGTAACAGTATAGTTCTTAAGTGATTTTTTGATTTGACTCTTGTGCAGTACAGTGATTTCAATTTTCATTATTTAAACCTATAATATGCAAAATTAGAAAAAACATTTTCATTGTCTATGCTTGATAATTTTATCTTAGCATCTTGAACTTCTTCAAGCATAAGCATCCATAATGCCATTGCAATCCTTTTTGTTGTAGCTGTAAAGTATTATTTCTTGTTTCCTGAGCTGGGGACTCAGAGCTGTATCTTTATTCCTTCAACAGGGTTGCTGCAAATCACAGACTACTGGTAAATTCAATTTTCTGGCAAAATAGCAATTCAGTGTTATATCCTGTTAAATTGTGTTTTCATGCATGGGTTTTTTTCATCACCCACTCACTCTGATTTTCACCTAGTGTTCTGACAATCTGTGATGGCTTCTTGATTTTCTGGAGAAGCAGCTGTAGGGGTTTTTTAAGTACCTCAGACCATGCTGTAAGAAAATCTGAATCAGAAGTCACTTCTGTCTGTTTTATATGCCGTTCTGTAATTTATTGGTTTGCTTTTGGGACATGGACATCATTCGTTACTATTGACTGGTCACACTTGAACTTGATCAGGAAACATGCTCTGAGAGCTCAATTTTTTGACTCTTCATGGATGTAATTGCTTTTTTTTCCTAGTTGAGTGTTAGTTTTTTTCTCCAGAATAAAGGAAAAAAAAAGGAAAATTCACCTGGGTGCCTGCACTCCAAATTAATGTTAAATGGCATTGCTAGAGTGTTTACATGACTTATTGTAACTTACATGACCAAGAATGCTTATAACTATTCCAAAGGTGTGAGGAGAATCTGGCTATTGTGCACTTGACTTTTTGACAGCCTTCTCAGAGAAAGACCTTCAAAATTTCCCACTGCAATATGAATTGCCTTTGATTGTAATACACACATATGAAGGGTATTTATTGGGAAATGGCTAACCACGGATACTCTTTCAAATTCCACTAAAGCATGAATGGTTGTACATTATGTTCAGAAAAAATAATTAATGTATCTTACATTTCTGTACTCTGAACTGCAAGTGCTCTTGCAGACTGTCTTATCCCTTGTATGCATGAGTAGTGCTTTCTACAAATATACCCAAGCTTCCCCTAGGAGGAGGATAGTAGCAGAGAGCACTAGGCAGATACCCTGCAAATTACCATCAAAATGATTGTTGCAAACTCATTTATGTCGTTTAAAAACAATGTTACTTTAAAGTCAATTATCAAATAACTTAAACCAGTTAAAAAGATTGTCCTGAAGTGGACTGATTCTTCTCACCAAGAGAGCAAGGAAGGAAAGATTTTTGCTCTGGACTGTGGTACCTGTCACTGTGTTAATACAGTAGCATGAAATATTCAAAATTCTAGTAGTGTACAGACCAATTAGGGTTTAGCAGCATTGTGTTCTTCCATCTGCTTGTAGGAAATACTCAAGTTTGGAATATGTATGTCAATCTACATTTCATCTTTGTGGGGAGCTGATGAGCGTCCTGTGTGATCAGTGTTCCTTCTAAAAACTGAGTTTCTTTGTTGATTGAGAGGGTGTACTTGAATATATACACATGAATATATGGAAGTACTTGAATGCTCTGATGATTTTCAGAAAGTAGAAAATGCAGTAAAAAGTTTCCTTTTGGAGAATGCAATACTGGTTTCTATAGTAGTTTATTGAGAAAACAAGGATACTGAGCTCTGTTCGTTTCTTTGATGGCTATTAAATATAAACTTTTTAAACGTAACATGTACACTAAATGTGTGGAGTTTATTCTATTTGGTAGCGGTCTTTTTCAAGCTTTTGAAAATTCCTTGACATTGGAGGAAACAAAGGTAACTTTTTCCTTTCTCCCACAGATTCAAACATTTAATGTAGAGGCACCATGCCAGACCGTGGAAGATTTAACGAGTGGGGTTGTGATGGCCCAGGTTCTTCAAAAAATGTAAGTAATTATTTATGTAATGAATTAAATATAGAGGTTTTTTACTGTACTTTTAAAATATATTTCCATGTGTTTTACTGTGGCTGGAATTCCCTAAGGATGTAGCTTTAACAGTACTTTAAACTGGAACATGACTAGTGATTTCTTCTCTGTAGTTTACAGATAAATATCTTAAATGAAAAACAAAAAGTTTTGTTTGAGAGAAGAGTTTATGCAAGTGAACTTACTGGAAAGTAAGCTGAATTAAAACTAAACTTACAGATTCACATTTAAAATTGAAATCAGTGATTTCAGTAAGGTAATTGGCCCTGAAAAATTAAAATTAATTTGTATAAATGTAATAAGGCTTCAATGATAAACTGAATGGAACCGTCAATTTAGTTGTTTGCAGTTGCAAGTATTTTTAAGTTTGTTTCCACTACCCTTGTCTGTTCACCTGACACCACTGAGATTATGTGAGGGTGTAAAGAAGAAGGAACCATCGGGTTATTTTTACACAGGATTGGTAAGATCCTACTGAGCCTTCTCTTCTTGAGGCTAAACAAACACAGCTCACTCAGTCTCACCTCATTTGACAGAAACTTCAGTCTGATGATCATCTTAATTGCCCTTTGCTTAATTTCATGTATGTCCAGGTGTCTCTCTTACTGAGGAGTCTTGGATGCAGCAAATCAGATCTGGTTTTAACAGATCTGAGCAGTACCTCCCTTGGCCTGCTGGCAGCGATCTTCTCAATACAGCTCACATTGTTGTTGGCCTTTTTTGCTGCAAGGACACATTGCTGGAGTGTGTTGCACGTGGTTTCTGCCTAGTTTCTTGTCTGCAAAGCTGTTTTCCAACCAGCTGGCCCTCAGTATATACTGGTCAATAGGGTTTGTTTGCACTTAGCTTTTCTGAAATGTGTAAGGTTCCTCTCAGCTTGTTTTTCCAGCTTGTTGAATTTCTCCTAAATGGCAATGCAGCTATCAGGTATATCAAATACTGCTTCCATTTTTTTATTATATGAAAAATTGCCCTCTGTCCCATCATCTAGATTTCTATTTAAGACGTTTTATAGTACTGACCCCTTGGATATGCTGCTTGTGAACTGGCCTCCGGCTGGATTTTATGCTTCTGAAATCTTTGAGCCTAGCATTTCAGCTATTTTTCAGCCCACCTTGCTATCCAGTTAGCCCCGTCATGCTTCATCAGTTCTTCTATGAAGATGTCATCCTGATCAGGCAGTTTATAGCCTGTGTCACCCATGTTGATCTTCTTAGTCACTCTGGCCAGTAATCTCTCAGCTGGCTCATATCCATCCTTAGACAGAGCTCATGCATTCCCTCTGGTCTGTTGCAGGAAGAGTGTCTCTCTGTCACTGCCTTCTCAGCTTGTTTTTCCAGAAGAGCCTGTATATGTTCATGGCAGCAGCCTTGGCATGTCAGCCATCATACCACAACTTCATGATCCCAGTGAGACTGTGACCTTATTCTTCCTATTTGTTCTCCATACTGCATGCCTCAGTGCCCAAGCACTCCACGTATGCATCCAGTTTTTCTGATTCCAAAGAATGAAGCTTTCCCCAGAGTGTTCTTCTTTAGGCCTTTCTGTATTTATGTGCATATGCTTGGGATGATCCCACTTTACCCAGACCTGTTTCGTTGGCTCCAAGGTATCTTATTCATATCATTCCTCACCCCTAGTTGTTCAACAGAGTCCAGTTCTTCAAGAGAGTCCTCTACTTTGTCACCTATTGTTTGTTTTTTCTGTTGTTCCTTGTGTAAAACTGTTCTTACCACCTTGGCCAGCCTGTTTGTGAAGAGGTGTCTGCCCACCATAGTCTGGTGGATCCAATCTCTTTCAAGCAGTCCTTACTTTCAAAAGGATTTAAAGGTTATCGTAACCAAACTTTGTTGCCAACACTATATCACAGCTGTTTGTTGACCTGTGGGATCTGTCTGCTGCTCAAACCTCCTCTTCAATAGCTGCAGCAGGGCAACAGGGGAGAACACCACTTGAGCCTTGACCATAATTTCCAAAGCTGCATGATCACACTTGGCACTTTGCAGATTTCCCGAGCTGTACAGCTCATGCCCGGGTGGAAGAGCAGAAGGAGTAATAATGTAAGGGCTGGACAAGCTTCAGCAGTCTTTCAACAATGCCAGGAAATCAAACCCCTAGCAAGCAAGAGCCCTTCTTGGATGATGTCATTCAGAAGATGAGGGTCCTCCATCCTATGCTAGTTTAAGCACTTCCCTCTTGTGCTGTTGTGTGGCTCAGTTTTACTGAACACAGATGAATTGTTTGACACAGTCCTAGGGCTGTAACTGCTATGAGGGCACTGAGTCTGTTCTGTAGTTTCAGATTCTCAGGAGGAGGAGCCTTCCTCCTAGTGAGAGAAGGAGAAGCCAGTTCATAGGAAGAATAATGAGGGGAAAAGGGAAATCTCAATATAGTCAAATATTTCAAAGCCTGACATTTTAGCATGTGGTTCTGAGATACTGTTTTCAGCTGATGAACTGATACTTTTAAAATAAATACACAACACAAATACTGCATTTCTGTAGCATGATTTTAAAATATATAACGATCACCCAAAAAATTTATAATTTTCTTTATGTAATAATTTGAACATGCCAAAATTAGTATTCAACTATGTTACTTTATGATAGTGTGCTTCAGGTTTAACATTTTGCATACTTATGTAATGAACAGCCATATTCTCATGCTGAAATTTGGCAACAGTATTGCTAAATCTTGTCTGCATTCCTTTTGAGATAAACTTTGAAGAGCAGCAGAAGTCTGACCTTGGACTGTACGACAGGAATGATAACATGAACAATCTTTGAGAGAAAATACCGCTTTTTTGTTTTTCTTTGTAAAACATAATAAACAGAAGATAAGTAGTATAAGATAAGAAGTGTAACAGAAGGTTGGTCTAATTGATTTTTGAAGTAGAAACCAAGGATTGTAGAATAGCCAAACTTTTTTTTTTTCCCCTGGACATGAATTTGGAATATAGATCAAATACAGGGATCAGCATTTGTATAGCTGACTAGAAAACTGATCAGGAGCATGTTGACAAAGCCATTTAAAATAATCTTTCTTGAAAACAAAACCAAATTCAACACCAGCAGTGAAATCCTCCTTTTGGTCCTTTGAAGAGATACAACAGGAAGACTACTTTGCTGGGAGTCAGGGCATGCTCAACAATACGAAGCAAGTCTAGAGCAGGCTTTTTTCCTTTTTTTTCTTTTTGTGTTAGCAGCATGGGTTCCCACTCTGTCCCAAGAAAGATAATCATGTAGAAGGCAATTTTTGCAGGAAGACAGCTGCATGCTTAAGGTTATTTGGAAAAGTCATGCAGTGTTGTTTAATAGCAAAGAGCAAGCCTGAAAGCACCAGGTCACTGCAGATATATCATTTGCAGTGAAAACTTGCATAGTTGTCTTTGACATAAAGATCTCTTAAAAAGTCTTCAACGGATAAAAGTGTTGTTTTGACTGCTGACACAACTTAAATGCCATTCATGGCATTTAAGGATAAATGACTATTTTTGTAATTTTTGTTCCTTGAATTGTGGGTGTTTCGTAGTATAGGTGCTTCCTGTTAAAGGTTCTTTTGAATGTGTTCTTTGAGCCTAATAACAATGAGAGGGGACGTTAATTAGGTAAAGGTAAGGAGAGGAAGTCTGGCAACTTCATGTGCATCAGGATTTTACTGTAGTAAATTAATGTTTAAAAAATAGCTGAAAGAGCAGATTAATATATCCAGTAAAGAAGAGCAATGATGAAAATTTAAAGGCGTTGGGATGTTCCAGTGACCTGGATATATTTCCAGAGAGAGGAGTGATGATAGCATTTCTTCCAAAAAACTTGAAGGTTTAATAGTGAACTCTATTATTTCTATTTTTCTTCCTTACATCTACCTTCATAGCAAGAGCCCACTGGTACTTATGAAGATAGGAGATGTAGTCATCATGAGGAACTGTTTTTGAGAGATCCCTAGCTCAGGGAATTAGTTGTTTTAGACCTACATAAAATTTGTCCAAAACAGAACTGTAGGATTTATGGTCAGAAAAAGAAAGAAAGGAGGAAAGAGAAGAGGAAGAACATTGCTTGCTCATCAGCTGATAAAAAACAGCTGTGCCAAGTGGAAGGGACTGACAGTTTCTTCTATGGTTCTTAATTTTTCGTACATCATTCTCAATATTTTTGCATTCACAGTAGCGGCCCATTTGTAGGTAAATTCCAGACATCACAACAAATATAGCAGAATTTTCTTTACCAAAACTGCTGGAAGAAGCTGTGAGAAGAAAAGCTGCAGAGGAAATTACTGTCACCTTCAAAAACTTTTCACTTTTGCTGTAGTGCGTGATAGTAAATTGCAAAAATGTGTTTTATGTAACCAAGCATGAATGTTTTACTTACAGTCTCAGCTATTAAAAAACAGGTGTTGGTAAATTCCCAAAGGATATTTTCATCCTTTGTAGCATTAAAACTTTATCTTTGAATTTCAGCTTAAAGTAGCATTGAATGTAATTCTCTAGTGCTAACTGTATTATCTTGGAAGAAATTCAGCCTATGCTTTAGCTTATATTCTGTGTGTTATTCTGTAAGATTGTTTCTTATCAGATGTGGTGATCCTTCTGACTAGCATTAGTCCCTCTGACTAGGATTGATGTGAAGTATAATGAAATAAAATGCCTGTACATACTCAGTATTGATTATTTTAATGAATGTTGTACTCTAGGAGTAAAGACTGGAAGCAAAAGAAAATGTTTAGGTTTTTTTATTAGTAGATTGTTGGCCTAAAATTGTGTGGCTTGTGCTGGTAGAGGTGCCATAGCTTGCTTCTGAATCACATCCTTTTTTTTTTTTGTGTAGCTTGCACTGATGTTACTTATGTTTTCACTGTCTACTGATATCCCTAGAATAGTACAATTTCTTGTTTTATAATACATTTTAAAATTTTCCTTTCATCCCAGTCTGGAGACTGTTTAATACCAGGTGTCCCTCTTGTTTTAATTCTTTCTTCTTCTGTTACACTGGCCTTGGTAAATGTAAGAAATGGTATATTTTTCCTTTTGTCATCTGTGCATTGTGCCCCTCTCAATGAATTATTCATTTGTTATATTATACGTTGCAACACACTGTGTATGTTTTGACACATGCAAAACACAAAAGCCGTGATTTTGTATATTACAAGTTTTTGAAGCAGCTTACTGTACCACTGTTAAAATGAGTAATAATCATGAGTTACACTACATGCTCTGTGGGTTGGTTTTCTTCAGAAGAGTATTTCTGTCTCTTGGCATCTGTGATGCAGAGAGATGATTGCTTAAATAAGGGAAAATTTGCATATAAAATAAGATGGAGATGGTATAAATGAGCACTGAAAACATCACATGAAGCGACAGAGCATTAACAACTGCATAAGTATCTTGTGCTCTGAAGAAAAGTCCTGTTTATCTGCAGTACTACTGAGATAGTAGGCAGCAATCAACTGATACACAAATACCTTTCTAAACCTGAAAGTTTTCCAATGCTAGAGATTGTGTGTTTGGATCTATGCTCAGAAACTTAGTGAACTCAAAATACTTAGTTCATGTACTAGTCATCTTGTGGTAATGAAGATGCTCCAACTAAACTATCAATTTTCTGATAGTTTAGCTGCTCACTTCTTAGCCACACATTTTCATATTTGATTAGGTGATGCTTTTTCAAACACTGTAGGAAGAATGCTATTGTTTGCAAATGAAATGGCCTAAGGTGGTTAAAGGACTCTGAATTTGATTTAAACTTGATCCCCAAAAATACAGCAAAGGGAGACTTGTTTGCAGCAAAGGCTGTGAATGACCTAACATCTGGAAGCTCCCTTTTAAAAGTATGTTTAGAAGTTCTTGTGGAAAAGCTTTTATTTCAAGTTTGACTTCCAGCAGTTTGCATACATGTTACATAGAGAGAGCGTTGCTGTTGGTAATGAACTTTAATTACACTTTTGAAGAGAAAGAAAATTATAATGGTAGGTGATTTAGGTTAAAGAAAGGATGATCGTTTTAGATTTGACTGGTGTTGATACCCAACTCGTTGCTCTTCTGCTTATTGTATTCCTGGCAAAGTGTTTTTGCAGTGTGCTATTACTTATTGTGTAGCCTGTATAAAGGTTCTCTAGAAAGAATTTTTTGTGCTATTTTGACCACTGTTACGTGGTATTGATTTCAACTGGATTGCTTATCAGCTGCTGGACCCTTGGATGCTTCCATAAGGTTTGTATACATACCAATAAAACAACAAATGGGATCTGAGAAAGAAAGCTACTGCACTGAGTTTAGATTTATTTCTCAGGGACCTTCCTTAAGTATGTCTGATGACATATATAAGGATTTAGGTAGCCTATGACTTTGATCACAACTGAAAGAGACAGTTGCTTGTCCACGTGTTACTTCTATTACAGTAGTAGATGAGAAAAGCTGCTTAGTTTCTGCTGAATTTCAGGCTTCCAGAATGAAGTGAGTTGGACCTAACTCTAAAATCTTCTTACTGTTCCTCAGATGATGCCCTTATTGGTGCTATTATTATTGAAAACTGGATATGCAATATCAGTCAAATATAATTTTGCTTGTGGGGTGTTGTTTATACTTATCCATGTTGTTTCTTAGAACCATTATTTACCATGAAAAATGGTATGTCAAGGTTTGATATATTCATGACACTGCAACCTTGAAGCAGCTGAAGATGTTAGTGGGCAGGCACAACCTTTAAAATAATAAGGTACAATCCTTAAGGAAGTCCTGTTGGGGTTTTTTGATGGGGAAGCACAGGTCATACCTGCTTTCTCTCTCAGCTGTGTAAATACTTTATAATTGTGAGTCTGTTATTAAGCAAGCTTATCTGTGTGTTGGCAATTCCCAGAAGACTCTTTTGACAGTCATCAGTGTGTTTTTTGAACCCCATACCTAAAATGGGATTCTTTTCATTAGTGTCCAGATGATTTTGTTATGATTGAGTGGAAATTAGGCAAATGAAGACTTTTTAATTAAGGCTTTTTGCAAGTAGAGGTATTTTTTTCATGTAAAAGCTGAATGTGAACTTTCTTCATATGTCAGAGATCTTATATATACTTGAATCAATGTCATTCTTAGGTTTACTTGTCTTCTTGTGGCAGAGAGGCCATTTGAAAGCTATTTGAAAACATATATTTCAAAAACTGATGATAGTCTGGATGAGACATTGCTTTTTCTGTTTCGTAATTTAAGATTCTGTCATCTGTGCTAGAACTGTACTGTTCTTGAATGGAAGTAATTTGGAGTCATCAACTTAACTAGTAATTAAAGCTGTTCTTCCAGATATATGTTTGCGGATGCCATGTCAAGGGAAACGAAATGTGCTGTAATCTTCACTAGAGTCTGTAACAAAGTGTGCAAAAATAGCAATGAAAATGTGTCAGTAGAGAAACATTGCTGTTTGTGATCTTCCTCCATTGCTGTGTATTTTATTTGTAATACAGCTTGCAGACCTTGATGCATTGTGAAGACACCGTGGACAAGATGGAATACAGCATGTGCATCAGATGCAAAGTGTGGCTGCAAAGTTGTACTCTAATAAAAGTACTGATGTAATAGCTGGTTTACAGTATATATGATATGGATGTTATTTGAATCTCCAGGCATATTCAGATTTCTCTTGAAGTTTTGCCAAAAGATCTCATGGCATCTTGCCCTTAAAAAAAGAGCTCAGTCCAGAACTCTTCTATGTGTAGAAGGTGCAGCAGTAAATCTAATAGTAATCAAAGGTGAATGCAGCTGTGTAATCCAGAAAATAAGAGTACTTCACCTGAAACTGTAACACAAATTCTTAAGAGCATTTTGCTAACAATAGAAAGGTGTTTTCTTTTACTCTGACTGTATTAACTTCATATATTGAATGAAATATGAGCCCTTCCTTATGTTTCCTGCTCCTTTAAAACCAGTTATATGTAGTACATTCTTTCTCCTTAATTCTGATTATAGCATTTTCAAAATTCTCTATGATAAAGGGAAATTTTGACTAAACTGAGCAGTAGAAAATGTTAGCCTTTTAGAGGATCTTTCAGCTTGGCATCAGGAGAGAGAATCTCAGGAGGTGTCTTGAAGAAGCAGCTTGTGAAAGATGCTTGGAGAAAAATGAGTAGGGAGAAGTCCATAGAAATAGAAGTACACTCTGCAAGCAGTAGGAGTTCTCTCTTCTTTTTCTTGATTGCCGTGTCAAAAGTGCAGAGGATAGAAGAACTTCTGAGGAATGGTGTTTACAAAAAGATTTGTGTAGGGTTACTGTGAAAAGAGAATTTCAAGAACTGATAGTGTTTGGTAGATGAAATAGTGAAGTCTGTTCTTAGTCATAAAAACTTGACTGATGCTTCCTAGCTCATCTTGCTATATCAAGACAGCATATGTATTGTTCAGTTTCAGGCTTTTTATTTCAGAAGTTGAATAGTTGTAAGCAGCGTACAATGGTAGGGATCCATAATATATGGAAAAGTAATGATTTTTAACACTTAAGAAATGCAAGTAAATATTGCTGCAGCACCAGAGGAGAAATTAAGAGGCAGGACTTAGAGAGGGAAAACTGACAAAATGCATTCAAAATACAGAGAAGCTTCCTCAAAAGCATAAGCTGCTAATGGCACACAAATGAAGCTGTGCTGTCAACAGGGTGCTAGATCTTAGAAAAGTGAGTAGTAACAGGATTCTGAACTACTATATTCAGGCAATGTGTCAGATATAAGAAGTAGTAATTTAAATTAACTCAAACCTGAGATAGGAGCTTAATGACTAATGTGTACTCACAATTTCTATTATGTGTTTTTAATGAATACGCTTTTTATCTTTCAGTGATCCAGCTTACTTTGATGAAAATTGGCTGAACAGAATCAAAACAGAAGTAGGAGATAATTGGAGGCTAAAGGTATTTGACTTACTTTTGTCTGTGAATCTGTATTTCAGTTCTTAATACAATATTGTGTCTAAATATTCTAGCATTTCTGAATTAGGATTTTGCTTCATAGGCGGCATTTTGAATTTTAGACCATTTAAATTACACTCACTTGTTTTTATGTTGTATTGTCCTGCACAGTTTTAGCAAAGTTTTAGCAAAAAAAATTTGTAAGCAGGTTTTAATGATTTAAAAGGAAAGCATTAAAATAAATGCTATGTATCAGTAACCTCTTGTTTTTCAAATGTTGAATGAGAGATTTTTTTAATGCAGTGTGAAAGCAGCTTTTGAAAAAATATCTTTTTTTGGGAAGCACTTGCATAAAAAATAGGAACATAATAAACAATATATTTAAAGAAAAATGGCCAAGTGTTGCTTCCTTTTACCTTGCCAGCTCTGCAGAACTACTGAGTTTTAAGGGAGGAAGTAACGTTTTTTCTGTGTTTCTACTCAGCATGGTTTTTAACCAGTCTGTTTGCTGGGTCATTTTTATCACTTGGCATTCTAGCACTTCTCTGCAAACCTGAAGAGAAGAAAATAGAATTTACGAGAGGTATGAATGAGGAACATTTTACTTTAGAATCTGAAGAACACAGTCTCACATGCAGATATTAGTGTAGTTTCTGACTAGTTTTGTTCAGAGAATTATTTTCTAAATTTCTATTTTCAGCCCAAGTAATTTGGAGGAAGAAGAATAGTTATGAATTTACTGTTAGTTCTCGTTTCTTGCAAAACCATTTTATTCTAGCCACCAAAGCGTATTCTGAGCATCTGGGGAAGGCCTACAACTGTTAAATGCTCTAGTATTTACAGGCTTGTCTACACCACTTTCTGAATTGCAGGGACACACTGCCCGAGACAAAGATGGAGTGCACTGCTGCTGTTTATGTTTTGACTTGGCCAGGAAACGTATCAGCATGGTTTCTGCTGTCTGACCAGCTCTGTGAAGTTTGGAATGCTTTAGAATGTCTTGTCTACTAGGGCTGCCAGCTAAAGTGAGGATACACTGATGAGAATATATTGCCTGCCATGAATAAAAGACATGGTCCCTAAAAAACGTTAGGACACTTTTGACATCTGCTGCATGTAGAGCACTTAATATAAAAGAACTTTGCAGAGAATTGTATGGAATTGCCGTTGAACAGCTGGATATAAGGTCTTACTTTTCTGTAAATTTTTGGAGGGGTTTTTCCTAAGAAATACTTAAGTCTTGTCTGTTAAATGTGGAGGATAACAAACTGAGAACTGTTCATTATAAAAGAATTTGAGCTGATTGAATGTGGAGCAGCAGCTTCTATAGCTGTCATATGGAGTTTGAGGAATAAATATTTTATTTTTATGTCTCCCACCATTTTGGCAGATGTAAAAAGCTTAGCAGGTGTGAAAAAAAAAGAAGCTGAGCAGTCTAGTAACTTCCAAATGTGACTGAGGCTGGCAAAGCATCAGGTCAAATTTCAGTTTCTTAAACAAGAACTAAAGACTGATTTTTTTGTTTTGTTTAAGAAATATGTATAGTTCTCCTTTTTGTATGCATTTTTATACACCACTTCCCTTTCCATGAAGAATACTAAAAGGCACAAGTGTGATACTTTGTTTTTTAATCAGGAAAGTAATCCTATACTTTGCCAACTGTTCTTTATATGTCAGTAAACATTATTGGTAGTCTAGTTTTCCAAATGTCTACCATCCAATCTTTCATTTAAAGTCTGGCTTGTAGGAGCACTTCAGTCTGTGCATTTCTATTCGTAGAATTGTTCACCTTGGAAAAGACTTAAGATCAACTCTGCCAAGTCCACACTAGACCATGTCACTAAGCTCCAAAGCTACACTTCTTCTAAACACTTCCATGGACAGTAACTCAGCTACTTCTCTGGACAGCCTGTTCCAATGTTTGACAAAGCCTTTGGTGAAGAATTTTTTCATAATATCAAATTTTAACTTCCCCTGGTACAACTTGAGGCCATTTCTTCTTGTCCTGTCACTTGCTAACTGAGAGAAGAGACTGACCCTCATGTCTCTACAACCTCCTTTTAGAAAGGAGGTTACTAGATTTAAGATGTGGGCATCATACTTGCATGACTCTAGAATATAGCATTCCCTTCATACTTTAAGAAGTGCCATGACAAGTGATAATTGGATTATCTCAAATGTTGTGCTAATGAGCTGCATTGTTTTCTTGTTGCTAAACATGGTCGATCTCTGCCTCTGATGCCATCTGATATAACAGTCACCTCTTGTACAAGCTCTTGGTATTATGAACCACATAAAGGAGCCAGTCTAGTAGGGGAAATACATAAAAAAATCTAAAATGTAAAGTGTAGGAAGTTTTGTGAAACAGTGGTTGGGAGGGATGGTAGAGTTTAGTGTAGGTCTTGTATACACTGTTCATAGAAGTACAGTTGTTAAAGTTGGGAAAGACTTTTGAGTCCAGCTGTCAACCTACCACCACCACTGTTCACAACAACTTGTTATGTCACCAAATGCTGTATCATATTGACCATTTTCATGGATGATGACTACGATTTTGCTAGGCAGTCTGTTCCAATGCTCTACAACCCTTTCTGTGAAAATCTTTCACTAATACTTAAACTAAAACTTACCTGATGTCACTTCAGGCTGTTTCTTCTTGTCTTGTCACTTGTTACCTGGGAGAAGGTAATAGGTGATGTGATGGTTAATTTTAAATTGTGTGTTGTCCTGTGTGGAGAAGAAGCAAGAGCATAAGGCGAGATTTTTTATTTTTGTGGTGAGGGGGAAGGGGGAGGCATGGATTTGATTAGTTTGGTTTTTATAGTATTTTGTTTTCTGATAACTGCAATGCTTTTGCTATTGCTGTACCATTAAAAAGAACCAAAAACCAACAAACCTCATAAGGATGTTTTTAAATTCTTGGTTTCAGGGCAAGTTGCCAGACTTGAGAAATTGAGCAATGCACAGGAGAGAAGAAAGGAAAATGCTAAAACTTGAGGAGCTTGCGAAGTAGGAACCAAGCATTCTGATTCTTAGAGCTGACCAGATCTTTGTCTGCTGTATTTAGTGGAGAAATGTTATTTCTTCAGGTTAAAATTTAATGCTCATAGCATACATCAACGTACATAATAGTTTGTGTTTTTCCTTGGGCAACAAAAAAACTTTTCACTGCTGCCTTACCTGCAGTTTTTTGGTGGTTTACAAAAAAAAAAAAAAAGCAAAGATATTAACTCCTTCCTCGTGTACAATGAACATATAATCTATATAGTCTTCTTTATAGTCCAGATTTAAATTGTATACAACATAGGAAGATGACATCTTGAACATAAAACCTATACTGAAAATGAAAAGCAGCTTAGAAAATAATTTGCCGAAATTTTGCAGGAATGAAATTCCCTAATCAAGAAAAAAGTTGCTGATTTGATGCATGCATATCAATTTTGGCAATTACAGAATAAACTGTTAGCTGTCTGAGGGATGGCATAAAATTGTCCCCCTTTCCCCGCCATCCTCTTCGATTTGGTGTGGAAAACTTAGGAAGGAAAGGAAACACATTGTTCAGCTTGATTTCTGACTTTTTCTTCTGAAATTTTCGTTTTGGCATTCAGAGTGCATCATCGATTTAAAGTACAGTTTTATTGATGTTTATAGTAGCAAGCTGTGTTAGTCTTGTGAGCCTTCACTACCAAATCTTCCTTTAGGTTCCATCTGTAATCAGTGATGACACCTGCTCCTGCAAAATAGAGTTTAAATCAGTAACTAGATGACTGTGAGAGTGATACAAACAGTGCACACACATGCTCCCTCCCCTTCTTGGTGTGCATGCACACACCCACCCACGACCCCATGCCCACCCACCTCTCACCCCAACTATTAACTGCAAATGGATAAAAATGTACCTTAATGAGCTGGCCAAAGCTTATTGGTTAAGAGTTTCCACACCACTTGAAAATGTTCTCTAGAAACATTTCCAGAGGTTATTCAAGATCTGAAATTAAAAAAAGAAAAGCCAATTTGCACAGAGGCTTCAGCACAAACAGGGTTTCAGTCATACATGTAATACAAGGGTAATGCAAATTTGGAGACTGGGTGTCATAATGTTGGAGAAGAACCAAGAAGTTAGATAACCCATGCGCTCTTTTTGTCAACAATCACAAGCTTAAGGGCATTTTTTATTGCCGTATCATTGGCTTCATCTTTGTTGCACAACTGTATTAGTAAAAACAGAAACCTAGACAGACTGCCGTTACAACGCTGAGATTGGAAACAGTAAGTAAATTTTAATTAAATAAAGATTTTATGTGACAAGTGAGAGTAAAAGAAAAATAGGAGTAAAAACAAGCAACCATGAAGTCTTCTGGTGTTGGCAGATCACATCATCTTTGCTTTCATTCCAGTCAGTTTATCAGGTTAATGCTGTGTAATAAGGGTCAGTCTCATACTGTGCACTGTATGCTTAGCATGTAGTGCTATACTACAGCCAAAATGCTGTTAAGAGAGAGGTAATGCTAATTTAGCGTAGAGAACACCCACACAACTCTGGTGTGAGTATTAGTGAAATGTAGATGTTCAAAGGAGTGAGAATATTCAGGTTGCTTTTGTGGATGCAGATATCCTGTCATTCATAATACATTGGGAAGGTAAAACAGAAAAGCCAGATGGTAAAGAGATTGAAAATGAAGAGAAGTTTGTCTAGAAATACTTAATAGTCCGTCTACTGCGAATTGCAACAAATTTATAAGGTGAAATAAAACATAGTTGCCGCTTCTTTTACCCCAGTAAACTTCGCATCTTTTCCAGCAGAAGTATGGCTGCAGGGAATGAATGTTAAAAGGCATTGGAAGGGTAGAGTGTATATTTTTATGGGGAAGGAATCACTCAGGTTGCTGATGCAAGCAAGTTGGCATCCCACGTGGTCATGGGCCAACATTCGAATGATAATTTAGTACTTTATAGTCATAATCTTTATTGGTAAATTTGTCTGCTATGTTCTGACATTACATAATTTAATGGTCTTTGTTACCTACAGTTAGGTTTTCCTATGTGCTTAAGAAAGCGAAAAGTAATTCTGAACAGCCATCACCTGCTGTGACTTAGAATTCTGATCTAACTGGTTGTCTCTAACACTTTCTTGGGCTGTTGTTCATTTTCATTCAGCTGCTTGAGGTCTTCCTTTCATATACTTTGACCTCATAAATGTTGCTGGAACTACTCAGTTCAATTTCAAAGTATAAAATATTAGTTGTAGTTTCCCTATGATGATCCTCTTTCTGCCAGGGGCAGTAAAACCATCTAGGTTTATTCACTGCATGCAAGTTAGAAAAGAAAATCGAGAGCTGTCTGAGTAATACTGAAGATCATGGTTAAGTTTAAGTCAGTCTTAGTCTTAAAAGAAGTCTATAAAGAAGCTACTTTAACCTCACAATTGTCTGATTGTGTGCCAGATACAAAGATGGTACAGTTAATTCTTGAAAACAAGCTACCCTGGTACTGTTGATTGACAGTGGGATGAAATAGGACTGTGAAGATTTGTTTTTCAGTTTGCAGTTCTCTTATTTCAAGGATGCTGCCCTATAAGCTCGTTTTCATGATGAATTTTGATCAATACTGATTTTGTTCTGCTACCTCACTCTAAGTGCTATAAAGATTACTTGGAGGAAGGTGGCTCTTTGTGTTCAAGGGATTTTAATTTAAAAATACTTGCAAGGAGAGAGGAAAAGAAGTATTTCACAGGTTTCCATTTGATTTCTCCTTTTTTTGGGATTATGTTCAAGTTCAAGGTTCCTCACAATGTTCTCATCGATAAACTGGACTTAAATTCAGCAGCATGGCCCTTGCGTTTCTGTGGCTCTTTCTGCAGCAGACTCAGGTAAATTATAAACCAGAAGATTGTAATTAATCAAGTTTGAAAATAATGTTCCAATCAGTGTGGTATTCTTTGTGGTGATTTGACATAAAAATAAAATTTCTTAATCTCTATAAATTCTTACATCTGTTGTGGACTTTGGTTATGGTTGTGCATTGCCTTTGAGTGGTGGTCTTGGTTGCCGTTGGGCAGACACCTAGGAAATAGTTGCAACTCTTACAGAACCATGCTGTGTTGTGTGTAATAGTACAGAAAAAGTATGTGCTTTGGTGTAGAAGGTGTAAACTGCCTATTACGCTGTTATGGGAGAGACAGTAAATGTTCTCATATACATGCTATAATATGGCATCTCCAGTTCTCATTCTAGGTTGTCAGGGTATTTGATGTCCCTTTGTTTTGGACCCACTTTTAAGGTCAAAATGAATTTTTGTTTCTTGTATGATTTAAGATTAGCGATTATGGAGACAGTCAGAATATTCCTATATCTTAATAAGGCATCAACTTCTGGCACTTGTTTCCAAAAGGGAGTAGATTGATATGAGTCAGATAATTAGCTTGTGACCACTTTGGTTTTCTTGGCAAAAGTCTCTTAGTGTATGCATCCTGTTTCTCTCTTGAGTTTGGAAGTTACTTTCATCACCTCATTTTGTTTGAAGTGTTGAGTTTGTTCCTGAATTTCAGTATCGCAACCATCAGGTCATTTGAAAGATAAATAACTTCTGTAAGTGGACAGAATCTTCTAACTGGGTATTTCTGGAATGCAGTCAAGAGTATAAAATTTCTTGAGGGTTTCAAAGACAATTACAACTTTGAGAGGTTTTGCTCTCCCTTCATTGCAGTTCCACAGTTTGCTCCTATGGCTGCTGTGGTCAGCAAGGACTTTCTGAATCCTGTTTCTATCAGTTTTAGTCTTTGCAGATCCTGTTTAAACTTCAGTTTAAACAATCATTTGGATTGGTGAAGATCCCTAAGATCATAGAATACAACCATAAACTGTCAAGTCTACCAGTAAGTCATGTTCCAATGTACCATATCTACACAGCTCTTTGCACACCACAGGGAAGGTGACTCAGTCATATCCTGGGTAGCCTGTTATGATGCTTGATAACCCTTTCTGATAAAGGGATGTTTCCTGATACCCAGTCTAAACTCCTCCTGGCAAAACTTGAGGCCATTTTCTCTTATCCCATCTCTTGTTACCTCGGAGAAGAGGCTGACCTGGCTACACACTCCTTTCAGGGAGTTGTAAAGAGTGATAAGGTTACCCCTGAGCCTCCTTTTCTCCAGGCTAAACACCTCCAGCTCCCCTTAGCCACTCCTCTGTCCCAGGAAATAGTGCACTGCTTCTATTGTCTAAATTCTTTTCTTAAAATATTTGAACAGTAATTGGTGGTAATCTCTAGCAGTTACTTTCAGCAAAGATTCTTTTTTTTTGTCTGAATTTCACCTGTGAGACCCACGGGCATTTTTATAATTTTAAACACAGTATTTTCAGAGACTTGATGCAAATGGATTTTTGCTGGGAAGGGAGCAATAGTCAGTACTAGAGATATGTGGCATACATTCTGTATAGTACGAGATACTTAACTGGTGCCATTGGTTATGTGAGTGAACAGAAGCTACCTTTGTATAGCAGTGAAGTCATCACAGAGAAATGTGAATTTTGCCAGATACTGTAAGACAGACGTTTATTTATAAAAACAGGGAAGGGGGAGGAGGGAGAATGACAAGGACAAAAATGAAAGAGCTAAGAGGAATAATTAATGAGAAAAATAACAAATTAAAGTTATATGGGTTAGGAATAAAAGATGATATTGAGCAGTAGCTGGTTTTGGTTTGGAAGAAGAGGTTTATCTGTGCAGACAGTAGAGTACTAGGATACTTCAAGAGAAGGAAGGAGGAAAAGAATGTTTCAACTTCTGGATGCAAAGATAATCGTAAGAGAAACAAATATCTAAAAACATTCATTGCTGTAGGACCTGATTTATTGCCTATCCAAGACAATGTTACATTTTTCATAAATTTAAATCGGTTCTGTGAATTAATAAAGATTCGTGATTACATCTGGAAGTCTGATCATAAGGGCCTCTTTGATAAACTTTCATGATTCGAAATTTAGCTGCGGGTAAATAGATGTAATTATATCCTTCTTTTGTGTGATTCTTCTGTGATTACCCACTTTATGATCAATTCTCTGTAAAATATTCCCTGTATTTATTGTATTTCCTCCTCCTTGTCAAATAGGTAAGCAACCTGAAGAAAATTTTAAAAGGAATACTGGATTACAACCATGAGGTAAGAACCATTTGAACTAATCCGCATCCACTTGCCTTTTGAGTTACGTATTTCAGTTAACCTGTTGAAGATAAACTGTATTCTGCAGGTTAAGTTCTGACATTTTCTTGCAAACATTTTGGCGTATATAGTGATGCCATGGCCTATTCCCTAGTCTTGGCCTTCTTTAAAACTTCTCACCTGCTTTACTCAGGGGTTCCAGGGAAGCCTCATATGCAAATTTTCTCATGTTAAGATTAGATGGCTCTTCTGACTGTGTTCTGATGGTGGGCTTTGTGTCTGATGTACTGTAATGTACTTATGTCTGATTTTTTTCCTTCCGCCTCTGCAGCTGAAATGTGCGTTTTTCCCAATTTTTCTCTTGAGGAGAGTGAGTAAAGACCATTTCTAGTCTCTCCCCACATTAAGATTTTAAATTAAATATTTTAATTCAGGGGTATTGGACTCAGCTCTTGTCATTCTCTTTTATTTTGAGCAAACTCAGTACTTAATTACTCCAGACGAGACAATATTTTTTCTTTCAGTGATGATTTATCAGCTGAAATATGCTTTCAGTGATGTTTGAGACAAATTAATCTGTACAGGCAGCAGCACAAAATCCAGAGTATGCATGTTCTAGACATTACTTGTTTCAAAATGGTGTCTTCTCATAAATACTCTAGAGATTAGGTTATTTCTTAATAAATTGAAATATTTCAGAAAGAAAAATTTATTCTTAGGTGGTCATCTTCAGTAAGTGATTAGGTATCCATGTTTAAATAAATGTTGAAAACTGATGATTAAGCAAGCTGCTCATGACTGGAAACACTAAAAAGAAACAGATCAGGTTTTTGTTTTGGAAAATTAATATTACTAAGACTGAGTGATGCAAGATTCTTTTTGGTTGGTTAGTATGTCTGATGATTAAGTCTCTGGTGTAAAGGCTTTACTATTAGGCAAGTTCTGAGTGGTTTCAAGTTGCTTAATTTCTGTAAAGGTAATGCACATTTATAAATCTGACAGGATTTTGGTTTAGGTTGGTATTTTTCCTACCGAGGCAATGCTGGGGGTGATAGTGGAGGAAATCTGGATTCTACTAATGAATTCTGCTTATGTTTTCCTCAATGTTATGTCCTCCCCAGCTACGAAATTATTGATATGTGGATTTTACCTGATGTAGCTAAAAGCCTTTGAATCCTCAAAAATTCAGAAATCTATATCACGTTCAGAGGAACAATCAGTAAAAATGCCAAATTTGTCCAAATGCTATCTTTGTCCATTAAAGTATAGAAGAACAACAAGACTGAGTTAATTATCTATAGCTTTCATGCTTTGTTCTGCTTCAGTTTATCTTGCTGCAGACCTCTGCTGCTCTGGAACTGAAACTTCTAAATTTTTTTTTGTAAATGTATAATATTTTTGTCTTTTGAAAATGGGTTAAACGCTCTTTTTCATCTCAAGACCGTTATTGTAGAGTTTATCCTTAATTTTCATATTTCTTTCAGGGCTTTTGATGGGTTTTTTTGGTTCATTTTTTTAAAATTCATTTTTTTCTCCTGTTCATTTCAAATTCTGTTCACACCTTCACATCCTTGGTTTATTCCTAGTGCCTGCCAATTTACCTCTTCCCCTCAGCTTTCCTCAACAGGAGTTTTATTGCCAGTGACTATGAAGTCACTGTAGTATTGCTAACTTAAACCCAGCATTGTATTTGAAAGAAATTCAGGAACTACAGATCAATATATAAATGCATATCAGAATTTAAAAATATTGTATTTTCTACTACTTCAGTCTGTATACAATGGTAATATTTTCTATTGTGGTTGATGCATTCACAGAATTCTTTTGACCTATAGGAAGTCTTATCCAACAGGAGTGAATCTGGGTCCTTTAAAGTATACAGAGATTTTTAGTAGTATTGAAGTTAATTCTTTGAGGAAACTGCTTAAAATCCTACCATTCCTCAACACAAAACATTACATACGTGCGCAGAACAAAACCACAACACTTCCACAAAGCCTAACACTAGTAAACGTTAGAATGGCTTGTTTTCTTTGTATTCTTCCTATATGCTATGTTTTTTGTAAATGCCTTAACCTGATTTCTGTTTTTCTTGGGAATTGCACAAAAAGGAGCATGCAGCAAAAACACATGACTGATTCCCTCCATACAGTCATTGTTTCCTTATTGCACTCTGTTTAAGAAGTTAGTTTCTATCTGCAATTAATGTGTCAGAGATGTGTTTAATTCCAAATTTCATATTCATGTTTTCAACCCTCTGTTCAGTAAAGAGCAATTTAGCAGAATTGTCTAGTTCCTTCTCCTGACAGTCATTAATCCTTAATGTCTTTAATGATAAATCAGATAACACTAATTGCGAGTCACATGGGCTTTTGTTTTGCGGGGTTTTTTCTTTCTTTCTTTCTGCATGTGGGCTGTTTAATTACATATCATTGTACTACTACCTCAGATCTTCTTCCATGGAACAGCTTTCTTAGCTGTAAGACTTGCCAGATTTCCTTATATTTGCTAAAAGTATGAGGTCTAATGATCTGAGTTTTATTGCTGTCTTGTACTTGTCACCTGTTGGTGTTAGATATATGTACTATATAGGTGAAACATTTTAATTTTCTGACTTTGTAGTTTTAAGAAATGCCAGATTTGTGTGCAATATCTTCTGCTACAGGAGGTGTTTTTAGTTGGATGTTTTTAATGGAATTCTTTATAAAAATTAATTACCCATGTGGAGGCCTGCTTTTGTTAGCTTTCTTATCTGAAGAGAGAGAATCTTAGATTCTGGGTAACACTGGATAAGTCTTTATCTAATAGTTGTTTGTGATTTGAGACAGTCGTGTTTGTCTTTTCACAAATATCATTTGTAACAAATAGTATGGTTTTGTAGTGGGATGTTAGGCAATTTAGTTTGTTTTGAAGGTGTATTCAAAACTGTGGTAAAGTACGAGTGAATTGCTGTTATTGGTTCTGAATCGTCTTTGTATGAAATAAATGGATATGTATATGTGCAGTGATACAACCATGTAGTACTTTGTCTTTATGCAGATTCTAGGGCAGCAAATAAATGACTTCACTCTTCCTGATGTTAACCTGATTGGAGAGCATGCTGATGCTGCGGAGCTTGGGAGAATGCTTCAGCTTATTTTGGGATGTGCTGTGAACTGTGAACAGAAGCAAGGTAATAAATTTCGAAAACATGTGTTCTTAGTTATTGTACAACTACTAAGGTGAAAAATTATATTTCTTGGATTTCTGTCAGAAACAGATTGGGATTTTTTTTTGATAATGATGACATTATTTTGTTGTATAGATAGTAACTGTTTTTTAGCGTAAGCTTCACTACTTTTGGAGACTCAGACCAGGACTGAATTTACTTCCAACATCCATATTTTCAGTTTTGCTTTGCTGAGCTGAAAAATCAGTCTACAGAGAAAAAGTTCTTGGGCACACCTTTTAGCCATTTATGAGGTAGATCAGGATAGTTAAGAATGGAAAAGAGTAATTATTGCATTATTCAGCATGACTTTTGATTGCAGAGATACATTCCAGGCATCATCTTACTACATGGCCCAAAGCCGTCAGTATGACTGGTGCTTGGTCTGAAGATAAGTCTGGTGTGATGTGGGGTACTGTAGTTTCTGAGATGTTTCCGGGGCATTGGCAAATAGGAAAAAATAATGCTGGCAACCATGCCCTTTTAGGCAACAGCTGAAGATGGAGCACGACAAGGTGATCCAAAAAGTCATTTCAGGCCCGTTGCAAGATACTTGAATCCCACTTCAGCAGTCCCTTAAGGAGACTCCCGCCTCTCTGCTCCATGACACTGACTAATTCTGACATGCACAAGTACCATAGAGACCCATTCATCTTTCTTGGAGATGCCAGAGAGGATGTGATGGACAATGGAGATGATTGTTAAAGTGTGGTTCATCTCATGTTCTAAATTTGCCTTGGGTTCAGGCTCTTTATTATTACCCCGATACCTTAAATTACACTTAATTCAAGCCAGATTAAGGTAATGGCAAATGCAAATGTTTATTCTAAATACTTGGAACAGGAAACGTAGTCATGTGTGGGAAAAATAGATGTGTTGGAAAAGAAGACTTTTTTTACTGTATTTATGTTACAGTTGCATCAAATACGTGTGTCTTCCAGATTTAGCTCATTTTGAGTTTGATGGCTGCCAAGATTTCAGGCCTTTTGTCTTCCTCTTGCTTGGTGCATCTTAATTTTACAGCTAGTTTCCCCTTTACAATTTTCTTAGGTGACTAAATCACTTTAGTTTCTCCTTCTGAAATTACTTCTGTTCTCTTAACCAGGAAATGGTCTGGCCATTCTATTAATTAAAATTGAAGTAATGTTTTTCCACAAGTACATAAATAGCTCTGGTTTATCAAATCTCTTGTCATCTCTACTTTATATAAAATTATCTTTTGATGACTATTTGTCATTTTCAAGTGGGATATACATCTTATTCTTGTGTCCCTTATACTCACATGTATTCATAGCTGAGAACTTTAAAAGTGGAGGGGACTTAATTTGTGATGTAGTACAAAAATAAGAACAAACACCAAAAATGAACGTGAAAATGGTTTGAAATGAGAATTCTGTAGAAAGGCAGGCTGTTATTGTTACACTTACAGAAAAGGACCACCTATGCATGGATCATTTACTTCAAGAACCTGACAGTTTGGGAACAAAGTGAGAAAAGGATAAAAGTAGTTGTTTCAGAAGTGTGAAATGACAGGGGAGGAAAAAAGCTTTTTCATTGTTGTAGAATTCAAAGAAGCCTGGATTTGTGTCTGAACAGGCTTGTGATATAATCTTGTTGAATTTGTTGGGTTGTCACCCATGGCATCTAGTCATTTTTTAGGGAGGATGCAGCTTCTGATCTTACCTCTATGACTTGAGTTTCAGCATTGACATTTCAGAATGCTTTTATTTTCAGAGTACATCCAGACCATAATGATGATGGAAGAATCAGTTCAACATGTTGTCATGACAGCCATTCAGGAGGTATGTTGGGATGCCCATAGTGTGTAGAAGTTCAGTCTTTCATTATTTTGCAGTAGTATGCCTTTTCCTACTTAGGAAAAGCTTAGTTGGAAGTAAAGAAAATAAGGGGCATAGATTTTGCCATTTTACGGTGGAAAATAGCTTATTTTTCCTTAAAAAAGTCTTGCTTCATGTCAAGGAACTCTGGTTTAATATCCCACTTTTCTTTAAATCTAGAAGACTGAAACTTCTAGATATTTTTGATACTGGGTTCCCTTTCCTTTTCTTTTCCCACCCTGTGAATCCTGAAGTGCACTAGATAGATTTTACATGGATAACCAATTACTGTGTAATTTTGTCAAAATTTGTACCTTGAAACTGCAAAATTTCATAAACTGTTAATTTTATTTTTTTAATTTAGTAGACAAGTGAAAAGAGAGAATTGGGTAACAGTGTTGTTTTGTCAGCTGTAGTGTTATGAGTGGGGTAACGATATGTAACATGAACATATATGAATAATGCAAGTCAGTGAGTATACTGCAGTGCATTTTGTAGAAGTGCTGTTCTTTGGTAAATCAAAACCACAGTGTTAGCCACTGAAATCCCCCTATGACTTAAAAGAAGTCCAAAGTGCCTATAAGAGAAATGCCCATCGGTCTATAGGTGTTTACTGCAAGGCATGCCACTCCCTAGGGAAGACAGGAAACCACAAGTAATTCCGTTTCTTCTGAACCTGAACAAGAGACACTAAACTCCGCATTGAGCTTTAGAGCAGTTTCTCATCTCTGTAATGTCTGCATAGAGCAAGAAATGTCAGTGAGCCTACAGGGTAATCTGTCCACAGTCATCAGTTTGAGCAGTGCTGTATCCCTACAGTCATACATTCTGTTGTTTGTGTGTGGACTGCTGTCTATAACATAGCAGAGAGGATTTTTGAAATGAGCATCAAAAGAATCATTGTCTAAATCATCTTCCAGTCAGTGCTGCCAAGCACCAGTTTGCTGGAGTTTTGGTATATTTTACTTTTTTGTAAGCTTTTTAACTGTAATATGCGTGTTTTGGTGGATTTTTCTAGTGTTTTTTATTAAACCCAAATTGCAGCATCGCTGTCTTTTGCACCACCTTGAAATAGAAAACCTTCTTTCATCTTCCTTATGTTGAAAATCTATTTGATTTTTATAAAGGTCTCCTTTATTTGATAAAATAGTTAGACTTGAAGCAGCCAACAATATTCAGCATTTGATGGGTAAACTTTGAACTTCTTCAGTGTTTGTGCCCTTTTTCTGACATGATGAGCAGAAGTAGGAAGAAATCACAGGGTAACAGTATGTTCTTCTGGAACAGATTTTTAAAATTCAGTGAATCAGAAAGCTTACTATTCAGCTACTGGCACAGTTTTAAGTCATTTTAATGCTACTTGCCAAGCTGCTTAGAAATTGAAGGCATTTCAGGACCAAATGAGGAGTATGTCAAGTGCTTAATGAAGAGGCGGGAAGGTGTCTCAGACTTTGAGACAAGGCTTCTCTCCCATTATTTTTCAATGGACTTGGAGTTTGGAGAGGTCCCAGTCAGATGGAAGCTAGCAAATATTATTCCAGTTTTCAAGAAGAGAAAGAAGGACGACGCTATCAGTTTGAGGCCTGTCTCACTTCAGTGGCTGGCAAAATTATGGAGGTTATTCTGGGAGTTAGGTCATAGCCAGCACAGATTGATAAGGGAAGAGTCTTTAAAGGGGTGAAAGTTTCTGAGATTTTGTAAGGAGGTTTTTCTATTTCTTAGACTCACAGCAGCTCTTAGAATTCAAGTGACTTAGAAAAAGCAATATGAAGGAAATTAGCTATATATGGATATTTGAAAAGTTGGTATGTCGCCTAATCCAAACATTTCAAAGCATTTGACATTGCAGGTAGTTTTCAAAAGTAGGTATGTCAGAAGACCTCTCTTAGCTTTACTGGTGTATTATGTAATTCATTTTTCTGTTTCAGCTGAGCACATACAAATCTTTTGATGCTTCTTTGGTTATGGTAAATCATCTTACTCATGGAATTATTTCATGAGGCACAGTAGAACAAGTTTTCTCTTTTTTTTTTTTTTTTTATGAAGAAGCTGATGTTTCAATGGAAGAAGCAGCATTTTATATGCTAAGTTTTATTCAGTTATTTAATTTTTTATTAACTTGTGGTTCTTCATAATTTCTTTTCTTCACTTATTTAAGTGTTTAAAATATGCCTAAGTTCATTGTTGATGAAGGTGGTAGCTGAGGTAAATAAATTGTTTGCCTTTGCTGTTTAGAACATCTCTAAATTGGATCACTTAGCAGCTCTCTATACAGGTCAAGTTGAGAATAACACCAATGGTGTTACTTCTACTTTTTGATTTTGTGGGTTTTTTCTCTCCTCTATTTTGTCCTGATTGTTTAAAGATTTATCTTGTCTGAAGTAAAATAATTTTTTGAAAAGTTAGGAAATGATATAAAAGTATTTTATTTGGTCTATCAATAGATAGAGTGGAGGTAGAGTGGGTATCAAATGGAGGAAGAAGAAAGTCCAGCTGCTTTAAAGGATATGCAGTGTCAAATATAGCCATGACTCTTAAAAACTAACATAAAGATGTTCTAAGAAAGAAAAAGAACGTGAGTACAGAAGCTAGGTTTTGATACTGCTTTGTGGGCACTTACGTGAGCTTATACAGTATTATTAAATGTACAAGAAGCATTTCAGATAAAGCAAGTGTTTTGGATTTTAAAATCATCGACTAAATAGAGCAACTGTGTTTGCAAAATCATGTGCAGGGGAAAAAAGCTTTCATAATTCAGGTTATTCATGCATGCAGGTTTTGTGATAGTTTTACCCCTTCCCTAATCTTCATGTATCCATGACAACACAGCTTGTTCACATTTTACAGTCAAAGCAGTTAAAAAGTGAAGGTTTTAATTATAGAGGATTAGCAGACCTACAGGTATTATGTAATATATCATACCGAAGCTATGAGCATGAAAAAATATAGATGTAAAGGATTAACAGGGAATGACAGCTACTTCTTACAAAACTACACAAATAACTGTAAGAATTGTCATGTTGTCCCGATAATTGCACCATTTAAAATCCAGACTCACTTCTATGCAAAATAAACCAGAAAAAGAACAAGCCTGTAAATGCTAGTTGTTAATTTATTTCACTCTGGGAAGCTCTTAAGCAGGCTTTTCTTTCTCCTGTAGAGGCCTAATGCAATTGCTTCTATTTGCAAGCACATTTTTAGTATTTTTTCTTTTTATAATCTCTGCACATATCCTCCTTTAAAGATATGTGTGAAAATAGTTGATTATACTATTCTTAGACTAAATAATGAGTTTGGAATTGAAAATCAGTTCCAGTGCTGCAAAACTGTGAAGGTAAACCTTTATTCCCTTTGTAGGCTGGTTCTGAAGAAAACTTACAGATGTCAAGGGAAAACGAGAATGCCATTTCCTTCTGCTTTTTATTATCTTGACTCATTCGAAATATAATTGAAATGAAGTTTGCCCCTCTAAACTCAAAAGTATTGCCGTTGATCCATACCTCCCAAGACTGCATACTCTAATATCACGGCTGCAGGTTGCATATGAAGCTCTGAAATTACATCAGTATTTCATGAACTTTTCTGACTCCGAGCTTTTAAGTAAAGGAAATACATAGAAGAAATCAATATGGAAATTTGCTTTAAAATTATTAACAACCTACTAGTATTGTATGATTAGTAATAAATAATGCAGAAAGAGTCGATGTGGCATTGAGCAGGTAACTGATTAAATGAGCATTTTGCAACTCTAAATTTCAGTAATATCAGAGAATGCTGATTGACCAGAAACAAAGCCAAGAATAGGGGAAACTGGGTGAACCTCTTATCTTATATTTTTTAGGTGGATGGAAAGTGTAGTATGTGTTTCAAGTTGATATACCTATCTGTATGGGATCTTAAAACATAGCATTCAGTAAAAGTTTTCTTGAAATTTTCAAAAGATCTTACTGAAGAGAGAGAAGTTTGGGTAGGTGAGTGGAGTTGTATGCTCTATTGGCTGTGCTATTTATGGTAAAGTTTTTGCTTCTCAGTGGGGAGAAGCTGTGTACAGGCAGTCCTGAAGCAGAGCGTGGCCAAGACATTTTCTTGCATAAAATATTTACAATATGTGGGGAGATATGTAGGGAAAAGATGGAAGCATTCCTTTGCCATGATAATTCGACTGTTACATCTCACTTCTTAAAATTATTTTATTGTTAACTGATGACCAGAAGTTGGATTCCTGTGTTCCTTTTTAGTTGTCTAGCAATCTCGTTCTTTGTCTGATTGTGTTGCTGGACACAAAACAATCCCATAAATTTCGCCTTCAGCTTTTCCACTGTACATACCACAGACCATCCAATTGCAAGGTGCTTTCTACTGCACTGAGTCCTGTGAGATACATCTGCACATGTATCTGTGGCTCTTGCCCGTGGTACCTCATTCACATTTCCCCATGACATTCTTAATGTACCCTCCATGGAGTGAAATTCACACATGCAGTGTGTGCGTTCATGGTACACCAAGACTATATATCTCCAGTACTTCATCCTATTCCAGATAATGTCCTTTTTTCTGGACATTTCTGCTAAGAGTTCTCAAGGACAGGATGTTTTGGGAGAAATGGCATGGCTAATAATAGAAAGCAATGACACCACAGTGGCCTCTAGTGGGTTATGTGGTCAGTTGTATTCCTTTTACTCTTAAGTCTTGGACAGGCCTGTTGAGCTGGTTTTTCAAAGAGGAAGTTGTGTTAGGGCCTGGAAGGAGTGGTGGTTGTTAGGGACATGTTGTTGTACACCTTTGCAGGCAGGGGACCTTCCTGTTGAAAAACACTGACTTAGCTCGTGGGACTTACCTTACATGTGTCTCAAGTGTGTTTGTGAACAGCATTGTGGAATATGAAATAGTGAGAGGAGTTCAGTATTTGGCTAATACGGGATATCCCTGTTAGTCATCTGGAAAAGCTGGTGAAATGCAGTATTCCAAGTGTGTATGAACATCACAGAGCAGGGAGGGAGTGGGAGGTTTTGTTTAAATGATAATCAGCTTAGAATACAGGTTCCTAAATTGAAGACAAGTTTGTAATACCATTATATATGGCAATGAAAAAGATACGGTTTCGTTTTTCAGGGGACAGCTCTGAGGCTTGGGACTTCCTAATTATTCTTGCAGAGTGTGGGCATCAAGCCCACTGAATGCTTCTTCGTGGAGTAGTTTGTCATTATAGAGATGTAAAAGAAAATGGAAGAGATTTGGCAAATATTGTCAGGGTCTGAGGAGGACTGCTGAGGAGAAATAGATTAATCTAAATTATGCAGCTAAATCCTAATTAAGGAAATGGGGAAAGTGAGAGAAATATAAGTGTAAGTATTTGAATTATGTAAATGTTAAACAGATTTTTCACTTGTGCACAGTGATATAAACAGGACTGAGAAGTGAAGGCTCTGTGCAGTGTATCCCAAAAGACCTTGCTAAGGAAAACAGTACAAAAGCACTGATTTCTAGAAGGAATAAAGGAAATACTGTCTCTCTTGAGAGTTACCAGGCTAGACAGGAGATTCCAGGGAAGAAATCTTGTCCTGATTTTGGTTAGGATAGGGCCTTTTTAATTGTAACTTTTATGAATTGCATCATTGGAGAGCTCCTAGAATATTCTTGTTTGGACAGAAACCACCAGTTGTGTAATGATGCCTCTTGAATTAGTTACAGTGTATTTATAATTTGCAATACTCCTCCTGTTTTTGTCTTAAAACTTTTAGTAAACCTTATTATGTTTGCTTGAGCTGTGTGGGAGAAGGTTGCTAAGCTAGAACTTTTGCTGCATTTGGTTTCACTTTTACCAACCAGTGCCACTGATCATTAGGTTACTATAAGAAAACTTATTCATCAGTTTTTTCTTTCTTTTTATAAATACTTCAGTTGGTTTTGTAGGACTTGAGGGTTTGTGTTGAGAGTTTGGCTGGAGTTGGTTTTTTTTGTTTTGTTTTGGTTTTTTTTTTTGTTTGGTTTGGTTTTTTTGTTTTTGTTTTTTTTTTTTAATATTCTAGGCCAAAACCACTATCAGCTATTCCTGCACTGAAATAGTACACAAGGAATTGTAATACTCATTTCAGGAATGCACTGTACAGAATTACTTTTTAAGGTTGAAAATCACAGACAACTCCAGAACAGAATTTTTATCACCTTTGTTTTGTACTAGTAGTTGAGATAGATATGTCCTGGGGTTGAATGAGATAAATAAATCAGTCCAGGTAATGGAAATATGAAAAAGCCACTCACTAACAGAGGAAAATTAAAGATAGGTCTTGCATGATGTGTTGATATCTACTATCATTCCAATGCCACTGCAATAAAGATTTTAGTGGGATGTTCTGTAGGCTTATCATAGACAAAGAATGTGCATTGTCAAAAGACGAAGAGATGATGTAAGGTTTCTTTTATAGAACTTTAAATATTACAAATTTTGAAGATTTATTGTTCTTTATTGCTTCTGAATATGCCATGTATAAAAATGAAGTTAAAAACTTTCAATTTAATTCAGATTAAAGCTCCCAGAAGTGAAAATCAGCTTGGTATTTCATTGAAACTTAGGCTTTAATATAAAAATAAAACTTCGCTTTTTCTAATCCAGTGTAATCTAATTGCAGTTGATGAGTAAAGAGTCTCCAGTCTCTGTTGGAAATGATGCTTACGTTGACCTTGATCGGCAGGTATCTAAGATTAGATGTTTCTTTTCCTTCAATCAAAGCACGTCAGGGGCCATAATAAAACCTCTGTCTTTTTCTTTTTTAATCATTAAAAGATGTTGTGGATTTTAGTATTTCAAGTCCTTTTGCTTTATAAATTGAGTTTTGCTGCTATTGTGCATTTAAAGGATATAGAAAAGTTGCTGCAAAATAGAAGAGAGGTTTTCAAATCCTTCTCAGTCTGATATATCTAAAAAATATACAAACCAGATTTTTTTTACTAGTTTATCCTCATGCTTAACACTATCATACTGCCTCAGAATTTTTTTCCAATTGAGAAGAAGAATAGTACAGTGGTGCTCACTGTATTCATCCATTATGCTTTCTCTGAAGAAATATGTAAATTCTTGCAGACGAAATTAAGTCTTTGTATATAAACAGGCCCATAAGAAATAAACTTGCAAATGCAAGGTATAATGATACTGTTTGAGAAAGCCCATTTAAACTTAATCATATGAAATAGTACAGATATATCTGTATCTGTATACATAGCATGCATGCACCTGTTTTATCAGACCACTTTTCTTGTAGCTATGTTTTCTTTGTTATCTTAACTGCATTCATTTGCAAACCAGTGAGATACATATCTTTAAGCATTAAGCCTTTGAAGGGAGGCATCAGAATATTTCCCAGTGCTTATAAGGTTCAGTGTTCCTTTTTGGAAGGGTAGGCTACTCTATCACATAATAGTTTATTGTGCACTACAAGTAGCTTCCAGTGACTAGAGGGATTTTACCCTAATTGTCCATTCCCTGTATTCCACCTTCCAGTCCTTTCTGTATTTCACATGTAGATTGAAAATTGAAATTATGCAGTCTTTGTGTCTGTAAAGAAAAGTGGTGTTGACAGTTTTTTTCAGTGTAGAGATTTGGTGATTTCTTCAGATCTAATTTCTCCTAGAGTTTTTGACTCAATTTATAGAGTAGATGTGATAATTCTAATGTAAGAGCAAAAACTACTTTTAGGTACATTTGCTTTTTACTGATACACATAAACACTATTCACATCTGCTTCTTCTTTTCTTTGTATGAGCAGAATTGCTCACTTAAAAAAAAAAATCACGTAAATGTAAAAATTATTTTACAGACATGTAGTTCAGAATATTTTTAATGGATCAAAGAGAGGGTTGAAAATGTTAACATTTCTTGTTTATGGTAGCTGAAGAAAACTACAGAAGAATTAAATGAAGCACTTGCAACAAAAGAAGAAATTGCCCAGAGATGTCATGAGTTAGATATGCAGGTAAGTTTGCTACTTAGTATCAATTTTGAAGTGGAGAAACAATGTGTTAAGCAGTACATGGCTGAAAATAAGTACTAGTGTATTGAAACATAATTTTTAGAAAATGACAGAGTAGTTGTTTTGTTTTCAGTTGTGCTAGCAGAAGGAATGTAATTGTTTTCTTATCCTGTTATCATGTTACCAGCGTTATGATTCATGGTAGCAAAACTTCATTCACTTAGGAAGGATTTGAGCTGTGTGGTAAAATTTTACCATAGAGAACTAATAAAAGTTCTGGTGATCTAACAGTTCCAGTTAATAGTTAAATCCCAGTCAGATGTTGCTGTAGACCATTAAACGTGTATGGGTTTAGACTAAGTCTTACTGTAAATAAATCAGTACTGATCTGGAAGACATGAGGAGTGTGAAGGGGGAGCCCTGAAAGGCATTGCTATTGCAACCCTTCTTTGAAATATCAATTCAGGTTTCTTATAGTTCAGTAACTGTTGGAATTAATGAAGCTGATCTTCATTCTTCGTGGTTAATGTATGAACCCATGTTTCAGGTCTTGGAGCACTTTGGGTTCTTTGCACTACTACCTGTTTTTACAGTGTCAGTGGAAACTGAGCTGTCTTCAGGACTGTGTTCCTATTTCAGGCCTACTTGCAGATGGCCTTTACTGTGGAGAGCTAGTTTTATTTGTTTGTAGGGAAAGTATGCAGTTTTTATTACAATGAAATTATATTCTGTCATAACAGACTTTTTCTTTAAGTGCTTGTGTGAAATATCTAAAAGAATAATTATGTTTCCGGAGTTGTAATTCTGCCCCTAATGTTGCAAAATGTTGGTTACATCGCGTAGCAATTGAATACCAATTAAATGATACAGTGTGTTCTTGTGAAATGTGGTTTATGAGGCCTGAATATTTCTCTTTGTGGGCTCGTTGCTTCATTATGAACATGAATAAATGCTACTTTCTGTTCCTGGGTAGGTTAATTATTCCAGTTCATACTTTTATTACAACAGGTTGCAGCCCTCCAAGAGGAGAAGAGCAGCCTGCTTGCCGAGAACCAGATTTTGATGGAACGTTTAAATCAATCTGATTCCATTGAAGATCCTAACAGTCCTGCAGGTCGTAGACACCTGCAGCTGCAGACACAATTAGAACAGCTCCAAGAGGAAACATTCAGGTAGAAAAGCTACACTTGTTTAGGTTGTTTGTTTGTAGCTGGCAATAGAGGTGATTCAAATACTTCTGGTTCTGCTGAAAATGTGAATTACTATAATGGATGGTGTATAACCATAGTAGTACAGTTTTTAAAGTGATGTATACATTATAATTTCACTCTTTACAAGTTCTAGCATTAAAAAAAGCACAGTTTCTTAGTGCTGAAGTGCTTAATATGTCACTCTGCTGTGAGTTACTTTGATTGTTTGGGTTTGGTCATTTCACCCATATTTCACCCATATATCAGTGAGAATGAAAAGTAGCATATTTTCCTTTATGCAAATTTTTCTGATTGTATTTTTAAAGTCTAGTAATTCCTAGATGAAAGTTTGCCACAGGCTGTACTGCTGATGTCACCATATTACATAGCAAAACATGTCCTCCTCTGAATTTGAAAACAAATTTCAGATGATGAAAGATGGAGATCATCTATGTATGAGTTCTGCAATTTATGTAGAAAATACAGTTCCTCTTTAAAGATCCTTCCTGGTCGTCTTGATTGTTGCTTTCAGGCTGTGTAAGCCTATTCTGCTGAAGAAAGCTGGTTCACTTCACCATAACCTTTTCATTCTCTTTGCCGTCTTTCCCTCTCCTTTGTGAGTGAAATTATGGTATTTCTTTCTTTACAATGCCAGTTTTTCTTTTTCTGTCTTCTTCTCATGATCTTTTTCCAATTCTTACAATATATGCCACATTACTTTCCTTTTTTTTGTCCGTTTTACCATTTTTTCAATTCCTTTTGCTAAGCCTCTTTCCTGCTTATTCTGACATATCATCTCCCATCAGTTCCTTGAAAAACATTTGGTGTTTCTCTTTCACAGCAACTAGTGTCTGGATTTCTTCTTTTTATACGTCTACCGTGTAAAGGAATAAAATAATTATAATATCCCCTTTTATCTCTTCTGATTCATCTCCATGCTCTGCAGTGATTCCTACTTGAGTCTGGTATCAATTACTGTTCGAACAGATTTTGTCCCCATATTCAATATCTGCACTGCCTTTTACTGTAGTTTTGGGTTCTGAAGGTCATTCTAAACGGTTTTCATATGTGAGACTCATTCCCAGTCTCCATTACATCCTTCCCCAGTCTTCATATTATGTGGCTTCTAATGGTAATTGCTTCCAACTCTACCCAGTCAAGCAGGACATACGCACAGCTTACCTGGTGCCTAGTGCGGTACACTGCTTTTCCTCCTAGTCTTGCATATTTGTTCTTTGACTGTTCTGGTCTGTCAGGATCCAAATCTTCATTGTTTCTGGTTTCTGGGTGCCTTAGAGATTTTCTCTTGCCTCCATTCTTGGGCATTCTTTTTTGGACTCCTTGACTTTTCTTTTTCCTCATACCCTTATCTCATATCCTGGGTTGTTTTAGCTTTAATTTCAGAACAAAATCCCAGTAGAACTTTCTGTTCCGGGTTGTGTACTTCTCCGTTTGAAAAAGTTTCTATTATTCTCTTTATTCACTGCCAAGTCAATAGCACTTTGCCTATGCACAGTGTGTGCAAGAAGTTCGGCAACTTTGCTCAGAGTTCTTTATTTGCTAACTAGATAGCCTGGTTCTCCAGATGTACTGGGCATGCACAGGTTCATTATGAGTTATTAAATAAAGCCCCTTCAATGAGAGGTCTATGGCATTTATAACATTTAACAATCAGGTCAATATTGTTGGAGGTAGATGAGTTGTACAGCTGAACAGAATCTTAGAATAAAGGTGACATGTTCAAACTCTGGATGTCCAAAGATGAAGAAAGATTAAAATTTCTCCTTGAGCTTCCCTTGTGAAAAACTGCTGTTATAGAAGGAAACCTCAGGTTTTGTCTTTATGAGAACATATATTACCTTGTGAATTTTCAAACAGAAAGACTGATATTAATTGGGGGCATTGATAAAGCCAATTTACTTTTACATTTTGAATAAGCACATTGGGTTGTTGTTTTCCTTCACTGCAGCAGGAGGCCATGTCATGTGTTCTTAGAGGAGATGATGGTGCAGAAAGGTAACTGTGGCTCAGGATGAGAAATTATTTCCTGTGGTTTCTTTTCAATTCCTACAGATTAGAAGCTGCCAAAGATGACTATCGAATACGCTGTGAGGAGCTGGAGAAGGAAATTGCAGAATTGAGGCAACAAACAGAAGAGCTTACTACACTGGCAGAAGAGGCTCAGTCTTTGAAGGATGAGATAGATGTACTCAGGTAGATTTTATTCCACTAACTTTATCTACTGCCTTTTAATCTGTATGATTTGTGTACTTAATCTGCATTCTCTTTTGTTTAAATAATTTAAGTATTAAACACTTTTAATGCCAAGATTCTTTGGATCCTCTAGTTTAGGTACACTGACCAGCACACAGTCCTGCTTGAGTAAAATAGTTGCTTATTTTGTATCTAATCATTAACTCTTGGTAAACTTAATAATTCTGCACCAACGTATGATTATAACAGGGCACTTACTGGTCTCTTTGAGTATGCAGTATTCACCTTCATTATGTCCTAGGCATCTGTTCTCATCAGGAAACTAGGCCGTTTCCTTTCCTGGGTTTGCATTGCTTGGACTTACGGTGGTGCGTTTGGTTTATCATGTAATATTGTCATGCAGCTCTCATTCCCACTGGATTTTAGCAATGAAAACTATTTTTTGATTTGATAATACTAGGGATTTATAGGGTGGGGCAGGCAGTTTTACTATGGAGCATATTCCTTCAGTATTGGCATCTATTGCCTTGGGTTATTCAGGACAGTTACCCATTCTCTCCAGCAAGGCTTATTTAATACTGCCATTCCTGATTCACCAGCAGCCTTCTACCAAAGCCATCTGTCTTTATCCCTTCTGTCATTAATATAAGGATATGCATCCAGCTGCATAAACTATGTGGGTGGCATGGCTTCAAAGAGCAATTTCTTGTCCCAAGAGATACACCCTGCACCTCACTGAGGATTAAACAGAGCTGGCCTCAGTGTCCCATAAACCAACGCATTAATTCAGTGGGAGATTCCCTCGATTTCAGAGAAAATTAGATGTGTGAATTGGTTCATTCTAAAATGAAACTGGGAACAGTAGCAGTAGCAGAGGTCACTGGGGACGTGAGGTCCATTGTAATCTTGGCAGTGCAGCAGGAGGATTGATAAAACTCTGAAAAGCTGAAACCTGGTGTTTTTTTTTTTTTTTTTCTTTTTTTTTTTTTTTTTTTTTTTGTAAAGGAATCAAGTTCCAAACTGTTATGGTACTTCCGTGTCACCAAGTACAATTTGTCTAACAGAGGGATCTTTATGATTTTATTCCTGGTTATCATTAAAATGAATTGAATGGCAGAAACTTTTCTTTACCCTTGAAAAATTTAGGACAGAAAATAATGTAGAATTGAAAGGAAATGGGTGGGAATGAGGTTGTTTTAGCTATTATTTTAAGATTGGAAACAGATAAGAAAGTTGTATTAGGAGGGGGTATAGGGTCTAAAAGAGCCTTCAGCAGCAGCTCCTGGTTTTGAGAAATAGTTATGGGAAGAAAACAGTCCATTTAGAAGTGAAAACATTAGTAACAGGAGGATATGATTGCTTTATTGCCCTCCCCATGATGTCTGAGAATGTCTTTGCATTAAGAGAAAACAGGAAGCGTTTTAAATTCTGTTAGTTTTGTTAGTTTTCAGAGTTCAAATTTGTTATAAATCTGTCCCTTCAGGCATTCTTCTGATAAAGTAGCCAAATTAGAAAGCCAGGTAGAGTCATACAAAAAGAAATTGGAAGACCTGGGTGATTTGCGGCGGCAAGTGAAGCTTCTGGAAGAGAAGAATACGATGTATATGCAAAATACCGTGAGCTTGGAGGAAGAACTAAGGAAGGCCAACGCAGCACGCAGTCAGCTGGAAACATACAAGAGACAGGTGAGGACAGGCATCATCAATGCAGTAGTACTCTGTATTGTTCAGCACTTTTCTTCATAACATGGCTAATATCTCAAAATAAAAAAAAGCTATGAAAAAAACAACTCCTGTGTAGAAGGCTTCCATGTTTTGTAGGTGCTTGCTACATTTGTCCTCCTTTCCTGCAGTTCTTGTCATTACTATAAGTTTGTTACTTTGTCAAAAAAGCAGTGTTTCTCGCATTTAAAGATCCAACAGATGTTATCTGTTTTTTCTAAAATGATTCCAAATTCATATTCAGTAGTGGGGCTTGAATTAGAGGCTGTCCTGTCAGAAAAAGTATCTACTTTTCACTTGCAATTTTCCAGAAGTGAGGAACACACCACAGCTGAGGTAAGTTTTTCCTGTGGTTAAATCACCCCTTTTTTTAATGTTCTAGTTTGTCGGATGTATCTGAACTTTTACACTTAAGAAGAGAGAAGGACGCATATCATTCTTATTATTTATATGCACCTAGTGGATTACAAAATGTGTCACCAACACACTCTGTGGAGTGAAAGGCACCTGTTCGTCCTCCTGCTTATCCAAGTGCCATGTGATGCTGTTTCTGTAAAGGTGGAGGATGTGCTTAATCTTCTTTCTGCTTCTATACTACAGGGATGTAATATCATTTTGGTATTCTTTTTACAGGGCTAGACAGATCATGGTTTATTAAAGTAGTAATTTCTGCTCTATATTTCTGCCTGATCAAATGATAACAGCACAGGGTTCATGTATGTCAGCTTATTGCAGAATGAAGTATAGAAACAAGCACTAAGAGTATTGAAAGCCCAGGAGCAATGTGTCTCCCCAAGTCTGGATAGATTTTTTTCTCTGCACTTGGCCATCTCGGTGTTTAAAACAAGTCGTTTCAGCCTATGTGGGCAAATTTTAAATACAGACCAAAGTATTTTACTGTAAAAAAAAAAGAACTTGGACAAGAAAAAATGTCCAAGGAAGCAAAGAGAAAAGTAAATGTAGAAAGGAGTGGCCTTCCACACATGAGTAGTATCAGGTTTACTGGCAACCCAATATTTTACTCCATTAAACAGCTGAGCATGTGGTATTGTTGTGTAATCTCAACATCTGCCTTTGATTCTCCTTTTTTCACAAACCAAAAGGATTTTGAAAGGGCCAATCCCATCATTTGTGCTGCTAAAGTATTCCTTTTCTTCCTTCTATTTAATGGGTAGGATTTCCTGTATGAGGAGCTTGTTTGATGCAAAACTGTTTACTGGCTGGGACTGGAATAAACCTCAGGTGTCCTGTGACAGATATGTTTTCTTCACCTAATTATGGTGTCTCAAAATGAACACTCTGTGTTTGTCCTCAGTGTCTGTAAGACTGGACTCCTTTTGAGACCTGCATGTGACTCATAAGCCACAAAATTATTTTTCTGGGAATCCTAGATATTATGCTATCAGAAATAAGCCAGATATAAGGCTTGTGATGTTACATCACTGCTGAGTACTAGCATGCTTCTGTAATGGAATATGTCTTGTCTGGTGTTTGAAGGATCCAACCCCACTCATGAGGACGCCGTTGGAGAGTTATTTCTTTGGCTTAGAATCATTGTGCTATGCAGATGAAAGTGTTTGATTCAAATTCCTGTAGTAATCTGCAAGGAAATTGCATCTTCCCTGCACAGAGCAGTCTCTGTAAGGTGACATTGAGTGGTGGTGTTCTGTTTTTACTCTTCTGAGAGCAAGCACAAGCCTTTTCTAAGAAACTTTATTTCAGCATAAATAATTAGAATGTGAAAACTGCAGGATAATTTTTTTTGTAATTTTAATTCAGCCCCTTTGTGCATGTGCATTCTGATACATAGTTAATAGTATGTCTTGCTTTTCTTTGTTGCAAAATTCCTGCTTTACTCATTCCTCACACAGATAATGCTTAGTAAATGTGATGGCAGTTAAATTTTTTTTCAATCTTCTGCATTACCATGAAACTGTATTTTTTTCTATACACTCACAAGTCCTAATTCAAGACAAATTTATTTTCTGCAGTGTTTTTCTACATACCATTACCTTAGCATGATTGATTGCAAACATAAATGCATTTGTTTCCATTTGAGGTGAAAATACTCATACTTTGCAAGTGGTGGCACTGTCACTGCTGAAGGCCTGCAGTATTTTTGTTATACCTGCAGTTATTCTGATAGCCCCAGTGATAGATGTCACATCTGAAAAATGAAATATTTTCATGTCGAATATGTTCTTTTCTTAAATCTCAGAAAATTCAGGCCTGTGCTGGTTTTGCAGCCTTTAATTTAGGAACAACAGCAGCAAAGTCCTTCTCTAAGACTTAAGACTATGCATATTTTAGGCCTTGTAGTTATTTTGCTATAGTTGCATGCATTGAAAATAAAAGGCCGCTAGAGCCACTGGGAAATCCTGATGTAGATATAGCTACTGGTTTAATCATTTCCTTTGTAATCTAAAAGCCATGAAAAAGCCTTCTTATAAATTACTTCAGAAGAAGCTGTAGATCTTTAGCTGCGTCTTCATTCAGCTTTTGTATTTGCAGGTCAGTCTTTATTTAGCTTATTTGCTTCTGTGCTCTCTGCATTATGAGCTTTACTAGTGTTCTGGGAATGAATCTTTGCTAGTAAAGGCTGAAAGTTTTGGAAAGGGAAGACTTCACTGATTTACCTTCTGTTATGCTTGGCTTTCAGATTTCTGCTCACTTAATTTTAAGAGCTCTTTACTGATCTGTAGTTGAAAAGCATACATGTGTGTTTCTCACTGAAATAAAGAAAACTGTTTGGAGCCTGTGGCTGAATCTTTATGTTAGTTTATTAAAAATTATTAAGACATCTCAGGTTAGGGAATTTTACCTGGCTGAATTAACTACTAGTTGAATTCTGAGTGAGGCTTATGAAATAAAGTTAAGAAAAGGTATAGATAATTTGCTTTCTTCAGTCTCTTTTCTTTTTACTAGGCTTTTCAGAATGCAGATAGATTTTTCTGCTGTTCCTAAGCTTTTTGGTCCCTAGAATTACATAGCTTTTTTTTTGTAAACCTTGCTTGAGCTTAAATTCTTGTTTTAGATGTACTGAAAATGCTTCACTTTTTTTCAATCTTTTGCTTGCACTAAGACCTAATATTTGAATGCTTTTTATTTTGCTGAAACACAGAACAACTGATGAAAGAAATTTTTAGCATGTCCTATAAGTAACTATTTCACTTGTTTTACAACATGACTTGTGATGCATTGTAATTGGCTACTTTGTCTTGTGTATTTTGTTTGAACATTTGCAGACACATTATTGATTCTTGTTCTCACAGGCAGTTGAACTACAAAACAGGTTATCTGAAGAATCCAAGAAAGCTGATAAATTAGATTATGAATGCAAACGACTGAAAGAAAAAGTAGACAGCCTCCAAAAAGAAAAAGATGTAAGTGCCAAGGTGTTATTTTTTTGTTAGTAACAATAGCAACTTTGTATTCTTTATAACACAGAGAAATGGTTAGCTGTCTTTTTAAATTAGGCTGTCTTTTTTCTTCTAAAATTTTCTAATGCTTGTGTACAAGATATTTTTTAAACCTAAGAATTGTACAGCATGGAATAAAGTGACTGTACAAAAACATATGAAACCCATTTTTAAGAGGAAAAGCCTTCATATTTGGCATCAGAAGTTGTTTCCTGACCATTTCCCATGATAAAGTTAATAAAAACCGAGGGTAATTATTATGTATTCTGAAAAGCTGTTTACAACAGGGTTTCTGCAGTGTCATTCTAGAATTGAATTCCTGTTGCTTTTTTTTTCCTAAAGCATTCTTTGAGATACCATCAATGTGCTTCTCTTTGTTGAGTCATCACTAGTGTAGCAAGAGGCTTAGTAGTTGTGCAGAGGGAAATGTCCTTTGTGGCGATCTCACCTTTTATGACAGCTCCTTGTTGACCTATCTTGTCCTGCCAGTGTGGAACAAGAGTAGATACCAATCTGTCCCCTTCCTCTTGTGTCATTTGCCACTAGTGATTCTGCAGTTAATTACTCTGCCCTCTCTTTCCGAGACTGATCCTTCAGACTTCTCTTACACACTGTCATTTCTCAACAGTTAATTTCAGCATGTTTCTTAGGAATGTATATGCAAGTGCCTCAAATCAAGGTACCTAAAATCAAGGTCAGCAGTTGAAGCTAGCAGTTTCTTAGGCATGTTTTAATTAAAAGCCCATTGATCCAACTGTCAGAGACTCTGAAGGCTTTTTTCTCAATAGTCATATTTCATGTCCAGTTATTTCCAAGATTTCCAAGCCCAGCACTTAAATATCATTTGAACTGAAAGTTTTCAGTCACTTTATATTCATAGGTCATTGATTTCCATTTTTTATTGAATTTTCAAACTCTAGTGGACACTTGACCTTCATATCACTTTCATCTGCCCTTCAAATCAGTCTGGAATGCTCGTAATAACTTGGTATTGTGCTTTGGCTTTCTTTCCTGCTTTTTATTTTTAATATTTTTTCCATTTCTTTTATGTTGAACAATGCTAAAGTTGTTTCTGTGGCTTATCCATGGCTCAGTGGACCATTTCATCTTGCACAAAGGATCTGAATTGCAGGCCATTGTCATGTAGTTTTCTGTTTTACCCCTGGCAAATAGCATTTTTTTTTGAGGTGGATATTGTTTTTAAGTAAATTCTCTTGAATGGATATGCACCTGTGAGAAGTAAATTACAGCTAGAAGTCCCTCATCACATGAGTTTAGTGATTCACTGTCCATATTACCTACTCCGTTTGTTCTCTGTTGTCAATATGTACCAGTAAAGCAGCCCACCACAGATCACAAACTACGTAGTGGTATCTTGTCAGTTATATTTTGGAAATAGTTACTGAAATTGATTTTATCGTTTTCCTTATGTTCTGGCAAAGCATGGTAGTGTTTGATATCTTCCTCGAAGTAGCTTGGAATTTTACCTCTGTGATAAGGTCTAAGGTAATTATTGAGCTGCTCGTACCAGTGAAGCCCTAGAGCTTTTTCTAGTCACTAAAATATTCTGGCATTTGGCAATCAACTGTTACAAAAATGAAATGGTACCAGCCAGCCCAACTCCATATCTACACAGAGACAAAGTGTATTCTGGACCATTTAGTAATATTGAACATGTCTGATTTTGGAGCAAACTACAACTTGGATCTCTACATAGTAGCCAATTTCTTTCCTTTTTTGTTTTTTGACTCTTGGCAACCTTCTGGACAAAATCTTGGTGTTATCTCATTTTTTTTGCCAGAAGGGTACCAGTACCAAATTTAAAGAGTATTTGCCTGATGCTACTGAATAGCACATATGTTTGGATTCCAAGGCAGTTTGTTCTTCAGTTCTCTTTGGACTAAGTCTTAAACAACTAGTTTTCTTTCATAGCCAAGATGCTGGTGAAAGACAAGGCCAGCTGACACACAGGAGAAATGCAATATGGAAATGCCGCTCATCCTTTCACTGGTGAAAGACAAAATGAAGTAAAAGCAGTTTGTTTGTATGTTTGTATGTTTGTTTTGTTCACTCTGTATTTACCTGCTCGTTATTTCACTCCTGGTTGAATCTTGGATTCATGGTGAGTGAAAAATCTATGGTCTCTCAATTGACTTCCATTTCTCTTGGAATCAGCCCCAATGAAAGGAAAAGTAAAACAGCTGATTGGCCCCAGTGGATACTGTTTACTACTTGGTACCAGAACCTTCTGTCACTAATGTCTTGATTTTGTAAGCTTAGACCCCTGCTATTCTTAGTCCAATAAGATGAGCAACACTTTTCCCCAAAAAAGATCCTGTGTTCCTGTGGAATGTATAATACTTAAATTTATTCTGTTATGAAATAGACTGAGATAACTTCATTTGAAAATAATTTTTAGAGATGCATTAAATTATGTTTTGAATTTTGAAGGCTGTTAGAGATGAATTTGTACTCCCAAGATTGATATTCATTCTCTTTCCAATTATTCAGAGATTAAGAACAGAAAGGGATTCTTTGAAAGAAACTATTGAAGAACTTAGATGTGTACAAGCTCAGGAGGGTCAACTCACCACTACAGGTAAAGAACAAATAAGGAGATTAAAGGCCTCTTTTCTAAAGTGCACAGGAGTTTTCTATAGAGTATTGAATGTGCTTTTGTCTAGCACAGAATAATTTTAAGCTCTTCTAAAATCAGCAGTGAAAAACTTCAACTATTCATAGCTTCGTAAGCAAGCAAAAGCTTCAAATGGTATTTCAGTCAATCAGAAATGTTAGTCTCCTCTCCAGAGGGATGTTTTTATCATGTAGATTTGATTTCTATGTAGTTACATAGTTTTATTTAGAGAGATATTTTCTTATGATGTTTCCTGTGTTATAGTTCATTTATATGTGTAATCTTGTGTACCTTTGTAGTTCTTAGATAAGATAAGGAGCAGAAAATAAACTGCAACATTATTTCTTCAGAATGGAAAAAATCAGGCATAATGGTTCACCAAATGAAATGATGCTTGTCTGTCAGTCTTGCTGTAGCCTGACTTTGTGTCATTTTACATTGTCCAGCAGTAGTCTGAAACTTCTAGAACAGTGTTTATTTCTTGTCATGTAAAAATGTAAGTGGTGTGCTTTTCCTTACTCAGGATTGATGCCTCTGGGAAGACAAGAGCCTTCAGACAGTTTAGCAGCAGAAATCATTACTCCTGAAATAAAGTAAGCTAATGCATGCTTTGTTTTACTAACTTCTACAATGGTCAATGGCAAGCTGAACATGAGTCAGCAGTGTCCTGGCAGCCAGGGGGCCAACCCTGTCCTGGGGTGCGTCAGGCACAGCATCACCAGCCGGGCAAGGGGGAAGATTGTCCCACTCTGCTGTGAGCTGGGGCAGAGTCCTGTGTGCAGTTTTGGATGCCACAGTATGAGAAGAACATAAGGCTATTAAGATCCAAATGAGGGTCACAAGAATGCTGAAGGGCCTTGAGGGGAAACTATATGATGAGTAGCTGAGGTCACTTGATCTGTTCAGCCTGGAGAGGAGGAGACTGAGCAGATCAAATGACCTCAGCTTGATCTTATGGCGTTCTCCACCTTCCTCACAAGAGGAAGAGGAGTGGCAGACAATCATCTCTTCTGTGTTGTGACCAGTGACAGGACCCAAGGGAATGGTATGAATTTGTGTCGAGGAAGGCTTAGGTTGGATATTAGAAAAAGGCTCTTGTTGTTGCCCTGTTTTGATTGTCCGGAGCCTGATGATGGTGCCAAAAGAGTTGGGCATTTATGAGTAAGAATTAAGGGGAAGGCCACAGGGCAGATATTTTAGTGGATGTGTTATAGACCACTTGTCTAGGATGCAGTTATACTATATACTACTATAATTAGCTGGGAGAGGTCTTGAGATTGCTGGCCTTTCTTCTTATGGAGGACTTCAACTTCCCAGATGTCTGCTGCAAATTCAGCACAGCAGAAAGGAATCAGTCTAGGAGATTCTTGAACTGTGTGGAAGGTAACTTCGTAACACAGCTGCTGAGCAATCCAACTAGGGAAGGAAGATGTGGACTCACTGTGAACAGGAAAGGACTAATGGATGATGTGATGATCAGAGGCCGTATTGGGCACAGCAACCACTGAATGAGAGAATTTTTGATTCACAGAGAATTAAGGAAAGAGTCCAACAGAACCTCCACTTTGGACTTCCACTTTGGCCTTTTTGAGGGTCTGGTTGGCAGAGTTGCTAGTAAGTCAGTCCTGAAGGGCAAAGGAGTCCAGGAGGGCAAGAAGAAACTGTTAAGGTGCAGAAGCAGGATCCTGTACCAAATGGTGAGCCATCAGGAAGACTGGCTTGGCTGCACAGAGAGCTTTGGCCAGAACCCAGGATAAAAAAGATCGTATCATGTTTGGAAGAAGGGACAAAGCCACTCAGGAGGACTAAAGAGATGTTCTGCCAGTATGCAGGGAGAAAATTAGATGGGCCAAAGCCCAGCTAGATCTTATTCTGGCTGCTGGCAATAAAAGGCAATAAAAAATGTTTCTGTAAATACATTCACAGTTAAATGAGGGTTAAGGAGAAACTCAATCCCTTATTGATTGCAAGGAGAACCATACTGGTAAAGGACAAAGAAAAGGTTGATCTAACTAAAGCCTTCTTTGCCTTCTTTGATAGTAAGACCACTGATCTAGAAGACAGATGCAAGAAGCTGAATAAAGCCTCTGCAATACAGGAGGAAACAGCTGTATGCTACTTACACCCCTGCAAGTCCATGGGGATGGGTGGGATCCACTGGAGGAGTAGCTGCAGACAGGTGTTGCAAAATTAACTCTGAAACACTTTTGATTGCTCAGTAGAGCTTCTCGACTTGCTACTGTAGCAAGTAGAGGCAAGAAAGAAGCAAGAGGGAAGTCAAGTAGACAGAGGGTAACTCTGCCTGAGTGCTTCAACTTTTAAAGAGCCTGGGGTACCTCCACAGGCTCTGCCATTCTGTTTTCCAGCTGCAGGAACAGAGTAACAATTTTGGGCAGATAGATGTGGAATACAATAACATTCTGGGTTATTCAGGACAGTGTTGATCTGCTGGAGGGTTGGAAGGCTCTGCAGATGAATCGTAACAGGTCGTATCAGTGGGCAGAGGGCAGTTGTATGAAGTTCAACATGGCCAAGGGCTAGGTCCTGCCCTTGGGTCACAACAACCTGTACAGTGCTACAGGCTTGAAGAAGAGTGTCTAAAAAGATGCACAGTGGGAAGTAATCCTAGAGTCACATAACAGCTTGGTTTAGAAGGGGCCTTAAAGATCATCTTGTTCCACCTCCATTGCTGTGGGCAAGGACACCTTCCAGTAGACCAAGGCTGCTCAGATCCCCATCCAGCCTTGCCTGGAACACTGTCAGATATGGGGCATCCAGAACTCCCTTTGCCATTGCCTCCAAACCCTCAAAGTAAATAATTTCTGTTTAATATCTAATCTAAGGCACCCTTTTTCAGTTTAACACAACTCTCCTTTCTCTTGTGTCTCCATGCCCTTGTAAAAGATCCCTCTCCAGCTCCCTTGTTGGTTCCTTTCTGGTACAGTAAGGCTGCTCTAAGGTATCCATGGAGTCTGATCTATAACCCCACTCTCTCCGTCTATTTTCATAGTAGGGGTGCTCCATCCCTGTGATCATCTTAGGCTTCCTCTGGACTCACTTCAATTAGTTGACATACTTCCGGTGCTGAGACCCCAGAGCTGGATGCAGGGTGCCAGCTGGGGTCTGAGCAGAGGGGCAGAATCCCCTCCCTCCCCTGCTTCCCACGCTGCTTTGGCTGCAGCCCAGGATCCCATTGCCTTTCTGGGCTGGGAGTGCCCATGGCTGGGTCATGTCTGGCCTGTCACCCACCAGCACCCCCAAGTCCTTCTCACAGGGCTGCTCTCCATCTCTTCATCCCCAGCCTGTGCTGATACCAGGGATTGCCGTAGGGGAAGTGCAGGACTTTACACTTGGCCTTGTTGAACCTCATGAGGTTTCATGGCCCCACTTCTTCAGTTTATCCAGGTCCCTTTGGATAGTACCTGTTGTTCTGGTGTGGATTTGGTGGTGTTGGTTGACAGCAGCTGAACATGAACCATTGAGTGCCCAGGTGGCCAAGAAGGCCAATGGCATCCTGGCCGGTATCGGCACTAGAGTGGCCAGCAGGACCAGGGTAGGAATTGTCCCCCTGTACTTGGCACTGGTGAGGCCACACCTCAAGTTCTGTGTCCAGTATTGCGCCCTCTCACTACAGGAAAGAGATTGAGGGGCTGGGAGAAGCACAGTAGAGCAGGAGAAGGGCCTAGAGAGTGAAATCCTATGAGGAGCAGGAGGTTTATCCTGGGGAAAGGAGGCTCAGGGGTGACCTTATCGTTCTTTACAACGACCTGAAAGGCGGTTGTAACGAGGTGGGGGTTGGTCTTTGTGCTCGTTATGCATTGAAGGCACCTAGGGAGAGGGCACACTTAGAAGTTTTTCTTCATGAGAACTTTTTCTGTGAATTGATGGGACTGATTGGAAGCTGTTTGGTTGTTGACAGCTTGAAAAGCTAATTGGAGAAGTTAGTTCCTTCCATGAATTTACGTTTTTAAAGTAGGTAAACGCTGGGAAAAGCTCCTTTTTATTTCCAGCTTCTCACAAGATAACACCAACCTGGCCTGGGCCCTTTTTTATGCGGCCCGGGCCGGGCAAGGGGTGGGCTCAGGAGGCCGCTGGGCCCCGTTTTTAACCAGGGCCTTGATAGCCAGGAGGAGGAGAGACCCATTGCTAAGGTTTTAGCTCTCTATTCTTTCCCAGCGTGGCCGCGGCTCGGCAGGGCCTTACCCCACCGCCGCTCCGGAGCCGCCGTGCCGGGCCCAGCCGCCCAGGCGGGCCCGTTTTGGCGAAGCCTTTTCACAAAGGAAAGGAAGAGCCCTGGCCCGCGGCTGCAACTCGCTGTGGTCACGCCGGAGGGCAGCCCTGGTGCCAGAGGCTTGTCTCCGTTTTGTTCCCTGGCTGGACTTTGCAGTTTTCGTCCGGCCCCCTCTCCCCCAGCGCGGCCTGAGCGGCCTGAGAGCCTAAAAGAGTTGTAGCATGGCCTGGCCCAGCCTCTGAAACTTCTGTGTGAGATTTTAACCCTTTTAATGCTCAGATAAGACTTACAAACTTTCAATCCTCCCTTGAGTAAAAAAAAAAACCAAACAAACAAAATACACCAAAGTCAGTGAAACAAGAGCTAAGTTTTTTAATGAAAAAAGAATAAAGAAATGCCGTAAAAGTTAGCTGCAAAATGCTTTTGTAAGCTATGATAGTGAACTGTACTACACTAAAAATTCCTATAAACTGTAGAAAAAACATAAGAGGGGGTTAAAGTGTTGGGAAAATCCTTTACCCAAAAGAAAAACAGAAATCTCTATTCCTGGGAATAAGGTATGAATAGAGAAAAGAGAAATAAAGAGAAGTTTTGATTTTAAACAGCTCATCCTTAAAAGTAATACCCCGTAAGTTTGACATAGCCCACAAACACAGCTCTAGGAAAGCTATGAAAATAAGAAAAGTTTCACAGTTACAAATTCCTGAGCAACTGCTGTTTGTGAAAAGTAAAGTCACAAAAGAACTGTTCTTTTTCTCTTGGAAAAAAAATCCCCATAACCCTAAAACTCCTCTCCCAAAAGTAAACTGAAAACAGTTAATTAAGTTAAAAACTGACTGAAGTGTTTCCATATGTTGTTGTTACGAAAGTGCAGAAAGTGAGAAGAAGAAGTGGTCTAAAGATCTTATTCTGAATTTATTATTTTCTTTGTGCTGTTGATAAAGTTTTTCTTTTTACCCTTTTAAGTTTTAGGCCTGCTTTGCTTTTGCTCCTAATTCTATCTCACAGCAGAAAATAAGTCAATTAAAATTGGCAAACCTAAACTCTGACATTTATTAGTACATTAACCGGGAAATTCAAACTAAACAAAAAGTCTTTTTTCTTGAAGCTGTGCTGGAGAGGTTTAGATTGGATATTAGGAATCATTTCTTCACTAGAAGGGGTTATCAGGCATTGCACCTAGGGAAATGATTGAGTTGTCATCCCTGGTGGTTTTTAAAAGATGTGTTGATGTGGTGCTTAAGTGGTATGGTTCTGTGGTGGATTTGGCAGTGCTGGGTTTATGTTGCATCTTGATGATCTTAAGAGTCTTTTCAACACAAATCATTTTGTGATTCTCTGTAAACAGACTAAAGGTTGAAGTGACTTGCTCAAGTTTGTGTAGTAGTTCAGTGACAGCTGAGATTACAATCTTCCTTCACACTTGGCATTAAGTTTTGCATTCTCTCTTCTGCCTGTAAATCTGTTGAGCTGTACTCTGAGATCTGATGGGGGCACTGAGGTAATTTCCATGTGTTCTGCATTCTGCAGTTACAACTCCTTAAACTGGATTTGTATTTGAAGGTTTGAAGACATGATTGTTGTTTCAGCATCTCCCTTAAAAAGATTATATTTATGTTATTATTTTACTTCCTATGGTAAAGACATTGTCTTATATTTTTTTTCTTTTTTTCTTTTTTTTTCTTTCACAAAATCGTGTTCTATGTGTTTAGGGAGAAACTCATCCGCCTTCAGCATGAGAACAAGATGTTAAAATTGAACCAAGAAGGTTCTGACAATGAGAAGATTGCCTTGTTGCAGAGCCTTCTTGATGATGCAAACTTACGGAAGAATGAACTGGAGACAGAAAACAGGTAAGAAATCTTGTCCTCTACTTTAGCTGACTTTTCTACAGGCTGGAGAGGAAAGACATGGATTTAATGGAATCAGTCTGTGAAAGATCACAACGATGTGATTACAGGACTGCAGAGTCTTTTGTATGACTAAAGTCTGAGGGATAAAGACTAATGTAGCCTAGGAAAGTGAAGGCTTAGATTAGATCTTATCAATGTATCTTATCAAAGTGTATGATGAGAGGGTCTAAAGAAGGTGGAGACAGACTCTTGTCAGTTATATTCAGTAACAGGGCAAGAGGCTGTGAGCAGAGCTTAAAACACATTATATTTCATCTAAATGCAAAAACGTGTTTTTTTTCTCACTGTAAGGGTTGCTGAACACTGGAGTATGTTACTCAGAGAGGTTGTCTCCATCCTTGTAGATATTTAAAACTTAGCAGGACATGTTCCTTGGCAGCCTTCTCTAGCTGACCCTGCTGGATTGAGCCAATCAGCATACAGATACCTGTGGGACCAGAGAGAGCGCATCAAAGCATGCCACAGTATTTGGCTGATAGTGATGCGAGGCTGCTTTCTATCTAAGCTTTGAATCTGTTCTTTATCTAATCTTCCCCTATCTTCCCCTTCAACTGGGGGAGGTGCCTGAAGCCTGAAAAAAGGTAAATACTGCACTCACCTTCAGGAAAGGCAAGAAAAAGAGCATGAGGACCTACAGAGATTGGTCAGCCACAGCTTGCTTTCCAGAAATTTCACAAAGCAAGTCGATCTGGAACCTATTTCCAGCTACATGAGGGATGGGAAAGTAATTGGCAAATGTCAGCATGAATTTCTTCAGAGCAAATCATGTCTAACTAATCTAGTTGTCTTGACAATGAGATGACAGCACATGTGAAGAAGGGTGAAACAGTGGATGGTACTTATCTTTAGGAAAGCCTTTGCTGAAGTGTCCCATGGTATCCTTATGTACAGAATGGCTAGATATAAACTAAGTAAATGGACAATAAAGTGAGCAAAAAAAATTGATTGGACAGTGATCAGACAGCTATGCTTAAAGTGGTATTGTCAGTGAAATGAAACCCAACTGGCAACCAGTTCCTCAGTCATCAGCGTTGTTCATCACTTTTATTAACAACTTTACTAATGAGAGGGGCTACACTCTTAGCAAGTTTGAGAATGGTAGCACTTCAAGATATCTTGAAAGGGAAAGCTGTTATTCAAAAGAGCTCAACAGTCCAGAGAAATGAACTGATGGGACCCGTGTCCCCGGCTATGGAGCAGCTCTGCTGCAAAAACCCTGGAGTCCTCCTGGGTGGCAAAGGAGGATGTGTTATGTGGAGACCTTGCAGTTTACTGTGGTCTGGACTGTCCTCACTTAGGTGCAGGCAGTCAGTCTGGGAAAGTGATTGTTCACCTCTCACCAGTAATTATGATATCACATCTGGACAGAGCATTTAATTTTGGATTCCCGTGTACCAGAGAGATGTGGATGTGTAGAAGTGCAGCAGAATACTGGTGAAGTGAGCAACACTGGAATGTATGATAGGTGGGATAAAACTTGAGAACTGGGTTTGTCCAGGCCAAAGGAAAGGTGACATAGAGGAGAGTGTACTGTGAACTGCATCTGCCTGATGGGAAGTTAGAAAGAAGACAAATTTGGGCTGTCCTCAAGAGATTAGTAGTGGAAGGACAAGAGGCAACAGACAAAATAGAGAATATGGGTCCAAGCTCTAGAAGAGAAGCCCAAAGAGACTGTTAGACAGACCTCTGTCCTTGCAAGTGTTCAAACCTGGTACTGGATATGGTTCCCAGCAATCTTCTCTAAATGCACCTGCTTTAAGGAGGAGGTTGGATCTAGGAAACCTGTGGACATCCCTTCCAACCTACAGGTTTATAGGGTTTTGTAATGGTGTAAAAGCATAAGCTAGCGGCTCTCACACTGACTGGTAAAAGTCAGTCTTTCATGTATATAGAGCTGATTTATGCGTGCCTTTATGTTGTTCTCAAGTAATATGAAAATGTTCTGGAAGAACATCTGGATGTTATCTCTGGAACTGCTGTAAGATCTAACTACTGCTTTATTTTTTTTGTGAGCAATTTACAGTATTGCATTTCTTTTTTGTAGACAATCTGAAAACACTGGACACTAAAAATCTAAGAGTTCGTTTTTCAGTTGTTTTTTTTTTCTGAAAAACAAATATTGTCTCTTTCCTAGATTGGTAAATCAGAGACTTCTGGAAGTACAGTCCCAGGTTGAGGAACTACAAAAATCTTTGCAGGATCAAGGTTCAAAAGCTGAAGATGTAAGTAGAAATGTACATCAAACTTACATTCGAGTAGTTGCCATTTTTGAAACTTTCACCCTTTTGTAAAAAGAAAAAAAAAGTAAAAGAATTATACAAGCTGAGATTTCTAATAGTTTTGTGTATTTACTTGTATGGTCTTACCAATAAATTGTGCATCTCTAACTAGGATGTAAGATATCCAATAGATAACCATCTATAGATAACCTATAGAAAACCATCCTATGTAGAGAAGGTGTCACACATGTTTTATTTAAATAATTATGTCTGTTGCAGTAGAAAACTCAGCGTTAATATTACTTATTTAGAATAGAGAGCTTTGCAGGGAATTGAGGAAATGTTGATTCTCCGTGAATAAAGCATCTGAAGTTGTTTTGGGTTTAGTTTTCTTAATGAAAGTTAAGGCCTTTCCAGTCACTGGAAGGTCTATAATTCTTCATGTAAATGTATTTCAGAATGAAAAATGCCAGCTAGACCAAAACTAAAAAAAAAAGTCAAATAAGTCAAATAATTAGGCCCTCAACACAATGCAGCATTTTCTGTTCCTGTATACAGAGTTAACTTTATTTTAAATGTAAGACACACTGTAACTGAGTTAGTGTGGAAAACAACTTTCAGTCTTCCACTCAAAAATTGTTTATTATCCCCTGTATTTCAAAAAAGAAGCTCTAGAACTTTCTTGAAAGCAGCAATTTGTTGGACTGTACATGCATGATATGCTCACAATCTCAGTGTATCATGTTGCTAATTGGCAACAAACTGTAATGTGCTGTTTTTGTGGGTTCGTTTTAACTAACGTATATAAAATAGTGAAAGTTTTTTATTAGATGCTTATGTTAATTTGAAATTGTGTTAAATTTAGTTTAGTCTTTTAATTTTCAGAATAAACTATATGAATGTTAAACACCCAGTTGATTCCCAACAAGATTATTATCCTGAGTAACTTAGAATGTGTTTTAGGATGCACGTTAAAATAGGTCTATTCTGAGATGTTCTTTGTTGTCTTGATTACTGGCCAAAATATTTTCAGGGTGAACAAGAATATAAAATAATTTTTCTCAGATACTGAGTATTGTAAGTGATCCCTGTAAAATTGTGTTTAGCGTTATTTACTGCAATTGTGTCCATTTTGAGGCTCTGGTTGGGGCAGTAATTTAGGGTGTGTCTGCACTCATGGCTTCTGTGTTGGTCTGACCATAGCAGTGGTGATTTATGGGCACTGATTCCATGGCCTGTTTTGCTGAGTTAAATCTGTAGGATTTCATTTACTGTTAAGGAAGCTAAAGAGCGAGTGTAGACTCTGGAAAGTGTTGAGGATACAAGAACCTCTGACATTGTGATCTTCTCATGCAATCTCCCTTGTAAAGCAGAGCAAACCTCTAAAGTTAAACCCAGCTGCTCAAATAGATTGAAGTTATGCTGAGACTACCTGAGTTACCTGTAGTATAGCCATACAAAAGAAGAGTGATTCTTCAGAAACATATGGAAAACAGCTTACAGTTCACCAGTAAACAATTTTTAGTTCATTTCTTGTGTTTTGCTATTTTTCTGCAACAATGCACAGAAATTCGTATTTTTATGTGCTTATACTGTAAATGTGCTCAATCCAGAAAATTGACACTTTATTTAATTCAGTCCGGAAATGTATGGTGAGAGCTCAGGTTTGCTTTTTGTTGTTGTTGTTGGGTTTTTTGTTTGTTTGTTTGGGGGGTTTTTTGGTTGGTTTGTTTGTTTGTTTGTTTGTTTTGACCTTTTTTTCTTCTAAGTTTTGTTTGGTTTTAAAGCTGAAGTTATTTTTAGACATGCCCAAAAAGATACAGTATCCTAACCCAGTAGGCAAGTGTCCTTGCAGTGTTACATGCTGTGTGCAAATGTCCACAAGGACAAGCACTTTCGATTTATCGCTGAGGTGCAATGGAAGGCAGCTGTGCAGTTGGGCCTGTAACGGGCACTGACGCATTCTGTCAGGATGCATGATTCGTCCATCCCTTGTGTTACCTTGTTAGCCAGGCAAAGGCTCTTTGCCCATATCTTTCAGACTACGGAATCAACTCAGATATTTCTGGTGTGCTCAGAATAGGTTTGATTTATTTTCCTCCAGAATGCAGTAGTCATGTGGGTCTACTCAACAGTTACCTGAACAGCTTCAACTACATAATATGCATGTCTTATCACTGTCTTTTGTCATCCTTATTCTCCTGTTCTCTGCCCTAATTCCTTCCTATATAAACACCCTGCCTTTAGTTACTTCTGCTTCACTTGTTAAATCCATCCCACATCTAATGTTTTTCATAATGTAATATATACAGTCTTGGCCTTACATGCTGTTACCGATACAACATTTCCCTAAAACGTCCCCAGAATTCTGTTACCTCTTCAGTTACCCATGAAGTTCAGCCACTTTTTCATTTGGTAAGGCACTGGAACAAGTTGCCCAGGGAAGTTGTGGATTCCTTGTCCATGGAATATTCAAGACTGGGTTGGACAGGGCTCTGAGCAACCTGATGTAGTTGAAGGTGTCCCTGCTTGTTGCAGGGGGTTGGACTATGTGATCTTTGGAAGTCCTTTCCAACCCAAACCATTCTGTAATTACTTTCAGCATCCTTGGAATCTGACCATCCATCATGGTGCTGTTTTATGACTTTCATCACCCCACAGTGTTACTAATCTCATCCAGCAGTCTTCTGAAGTAATGACCCACAGTTTCCCACACTCCACTAAGTTAGCTTAACCTCAGGCCAGAACCTAGCCATCTGCCCCTAACCTTAGCATCTAAAATGAAACCGAATTCTGCCCTGCAAAGGGGGACAGACTTGTTCTTTTGACTTGTTTAAGGATGAAAGGAACTTCAAGCAAAAAAACTTCCATTTCTGTAGTGTTTAGGAAACTCATTTAAGAGAACAATTACAGTAATTACATTTTAGATTTGTATGAGTCTTTAAAGCTTATTGATACTGCAAAAATCCCAGAAGTAACGTTTGCCCATTTTTAGAGTGATCTGTTTGAATTTATCTATATACAGGATCTTTGGGTGCCTAGAATGGCATATTGAGTATTTTAGTCTCTTTCCTAATCACGTGTCTTGGGTGAATTAATGTGGGTAAACTAATTTCTGCTTCTATTAATTGTTTAGGCTGTTTATCACAATTAGTTTTTTGCTTGTGAAAACATGATCTATCTAGCTGGGAGAGGGGTTACTCCCTCAATAATGCAGGTAAATAATACACCAGTGGAATCAGTGTTGACTAGTAGCTGCGTCTGTTTCAAGATAAACCCAAGTGCAATACAAGGATGCAAAAAAAAAAAAGCTGAGGTGATTTTGATTTTGTTACCTTAGGGAAATGGGCACTGCTTCCAACTTTTTCCCTTTCTTGTCCCAGCCAGATGGTAGTCCCCTAAATGATTTGGTATAAGTGATGGAGACTGTTCACATGATTTGTGACTGATAAAGATGCATACAAATATATTTTATTACAGAAAAGGTGGTGTTTCTGCAGTTGTTCAGAGAGAAGGAATAAAGCCAGATGGTCAAAACCTGCAGATCTTTAGCTGCTGCCAATTTCTGACTGTGAAGTCAGTAAAGCCATCTTGACTTGTTTTTATGGCTCCCCACCTTTCTTGTGATGCAATAAGAAAATCTCTTTCGTAATAATGAAAAAACACGCCCCAAGAATGTGATCAAAGACAGTATTTTGAAGTATAACCAAACTAAAAAAGCTTTTTGAGTGCACACAGTAATATTTTTCTGTTAGCAAGGTGACTAAGTCTTTGTTGAGAGAACATTGGAGAAAAAACAATGAAGTAATTTTGTTGGTGATTTTATGTTACATTTTGATGGTACTGTGGACCATCAGTCACATGCTAACCTTCCCTTGTAGTTAATACTATATAAATGCAAGCTAAAAAGGCAGTTGCACATTTAAATATTCTACATTTGCTTTGTATTCAGTCACTTTGGCAATAACACAATTCAGCATCACACCACAAAACCACCTGCATCTCTTAATTCTGGTTGTAGCCCAACAGAATGGCTATTTTCCTTGGTTTTGTTAGTTGTATGATTTTTGGTTTAAAATTACTTTCCAAAATAGCAGTTGCTTTCCTTTGGAATTCTGATTTAAACACAATGATTTGTAAATATGCTTCTTTTTTATCTTTATATTTTTGGGTTTAGTGACATGTTTTAGAAAATGTTACAAGATGAAATTGCTCATGAGAACAGAGGAAAAAATTGCACATAGGTGAAAAATACATAGCTTTAACTTTTTCTGTTCATGACTTTCTAAATAGTTTCTTCTGTTGGCTGCTGTTTTGCTTTATACTAATGTCATCTCTGTTTCTTGGCATGGGCTTCTGCTCAAGGCTATTGTGAGTATGGCTTTCTATTTACTTAACACTACTTTCAGTTCATAGACATTTATTGGATTTGGGTTTTTTTCCTTTCAAAAGATACTCACTGTGTATGAAGTGAGTTTAAAATTTAAAAATTACTTCAAAGTTTTTATTTGAAGAGCTTATTTAAATGTGATTTAACCAGAAAGTGGAACACTGTAAGTTGTACGGTGATTTTTATATATCTGTAATGAATAAAGAAACACAAAAAAGGTGACTTTTTTGCTACACTGCAGTTAGAAATACTCTACTCCTCCTAGTTTCTGTGGGGATGGGAATTTACTTAAACTAATTTGCTATGTCTTCATGCAAGTTGAAATGCAATATTGGTAGGAGAGCTCTTCTTGCAAATTTTGCTGCACTTTCCAATACAAAGTACTGAACAAATTAAAACAACTGCCTTAGAATTCTGTCATTTATGGATCTTACTTTTATTGATCTAGTTCCTGGGAAAATATTTGTAAAGTTCTAAAGGGTTCTAATTTTAGTAAAGTCACACAGCTGTGAAGAGAAAGGTTGCTACCACAGAGGCTTTACAGTTGTGATCTAAAGTTGAAGTAAAAAAGTTGGATTTTGGTTAGAATGTCAAAATTGCATGTTTTAAAATATTTTTTTAATATGTTAAAGTTTCACAATACATTAAAATAAAACATTTAACTTTCTATTTTAGTCAGTTCTTCTGAAAAAGAAACTTGAAGAACATCTGTAAGTATTTTTGCTTGCCTATTTTGTTTGTAGTTTGAAATTATCCGTTTTTCCATATAATGAGGAAGGCAGACAGTCATTAATCATGGATCTGGAAAATATACAACTAAGAGAGATTAGATAACACAGGAATATTTGGGAATATGCTGTTCAGATTCTTTTATTTTTCCGGAGAAGACCATTTTCGTGAAAATAACAATGATGAGGGAATCGTCATTTTGTGTTGGGTAGAAAACTTGGCTTAACATTATGGAAATCTTTCCTCAAGAGGACTAAGTAATTTTTTTTTCTGAGAAAAGCATGGTAATATGAACAAAATTAATTTGTTTACTCTTTGATATACATTATGGCATAGAAGGTAATACTTTAGGAAGTGCTATCATTTTATTGTGCTATTTCTGCACATCTTTTACTTCCCTAAAAGAGTATTTGTTTTTTGACTGTTTTGCAAAAAAGAAGTTTCTGTTGCCTTTGGGTTTAGCCACTCTTTCCTCAGTGTAATATCAGTTATGAGTATTCATGTTAGTTCTTTATTGTACAATTAACTCTTAAGTTCTAAATTAAGTACAGTTACTGACTAAGGAACTGTTTGTTGTTGCAGTTCTCCATACAGAATGATGTTTTTCATCTTATCTAACCAATATTTCTACAGTGATACTCTCACTTGTCCTCATGCTCCACAGAAAAAAAAAATCAAAAAATCAATCATGCCCTTAGAAATACTCTCTCTGAGGATTTTCTGTACTGCTTAGTGCTCATGTCAAGCGCAGTAATACTACTGGGGAAACAATATGTGCTTCTGTGGTTTCTAACAGTGAGAAGCTCCATGAAGCTAACAATGAGCTACAGAAGAAACGAGCTATTATTGAAGATTTGGAACCAAGATGCAACAACAGTTGTGAGTTGTGCAGTCCATTTCTTTTCTTTGTAAATTATTTCATGTGCAACGTCTTTAATTGTAATACCTAAAACAGGTGTCAGGTAAGCAAAATGTACATTTTTAATGGAGTGACATGTATGTAATTAATTTCTCTGGAAACTAGGGTAACCAAAATGTTGCTTTTAACACTTTAAGTACATGGGAATCACATTTTAGAAACACTGTAGTAAGAAATCATAGAATGCTAAGAGGTTAGAATGAACCTTAAAGATCATCTACTCCCAAACCCAATGACATTGGCCAGAGAAGTACCAGCTCACTGCAATACCTGCCATTGAACCTCAGCTGTCCAGAGCTGTCATGTCTCATAAGACCCTAATTTAGAATATCCTTGCTGTTGTCACCGACTCATTTTTACTTCCAGTGTATATTCCCTCAATGTGTTTTCAAAAATGTGTTATAATTTGAGCAAACTTTCCATTACTGGTGAAAGAGAATATAGGATATACGTCATATTGCTCAGAGGGTATACAGAACCCAGCATCTAGCTGATTTTTATCACGTTATTGCTATGTTTCTCCCAGAGGAGTTATGAGGGAGATAGTCTGGATTTTTCAAAATACTAGTTATTCTAGCACAAGGCAAAAGACTAACTGATGGCAGCTTTTCTGGTTTGTGGTAAAATTATTTTATTCATAGTGAGAAATTATTTTATTCATAGTGAGACAGAGGAAGAAATATAATTTTGTTTTCTGAAATCTGAGAAGTTGTGTAGAAGCAGAAGTAATAGTGGCTTGACGTATTCTTACACCAACACAGGAAAAATCTGTGCAATTAAATTGTCCTACTGATCTTGATTGCTGCTTAAGAAAATGTGAGGGAGAAATTAAACTTGGTATATTCATGTTACAGTTTAGTAAATTTAAGCAGGAGTTGTGCCTCTTAGGAATTATTCCTCTTACATAAAACAGGAAAAATTATATTTGCCTATATTACATGCCAAGATATTATAGTAGCTGTAAGTCATTAGTAAACCCATTTTCTAAATGTGTTTAGTGACATGATTGTGTTATGATTTTATTTCTCTTTGTCATAATTTGAAAAAGCAAGATTACGTCCCAAATAATCCATTTCATGAGATTTTATAGGAGTATATCTTTTTAATGTATTTCTGAGCTGTACAGTAATTAAATCTGTGATATCTGCCACATCAGGTTTCTTATGCCAGCTTTTTTAACTGAAATATATTTCCGCTGTGTCTTAAGTCTCTGTTGTAAAACATGAAAATATTCATACATAACTATGTTATTTTCTTATGTGTGCATCGTCTGACATAAAGCACTTAAAATTGAGGAATTACAAGAAGCTCTACGGAAAAAGGAGGAGGAAATGAAGCAAATGGAAGAACGATACAAAAAGTATTTGGAAAAGGCCAAAAGTGTAAGTAGATATCTTCCACATTAATTATCCCTGTCTGAGAGAGACTGTACTACGTGTCCACTCTGTGGGAATAAAAATGAAGGAGGTATCTGTATACATACTACTAAGTTAAAGAGAAGGAAGCTCCATTGATTATCATCTTATTGTTTCAGTATTTAATGTATATTAATTTTGCAGAAGCTTACCCCATTTTTGAGACTCTTATTGATGCTTTTTTGCAGTAAAGTTATCTTTTTGACTGGATCACCTTCAATAATTGTTAGATTTCTCTGATGGTGTTCAGCATTCTGTTTTGTCTATTGCTTAATATATGCATCTGTCAAGAAGGTGACTAATACTTAAGTACTGGGGATATTGTTTTATTTCAGCATCTGGACACAACTCTGAAATACGTAGAAGAATAAAAGATGAGAAGTCTATTTCTGTATAGCCAGAGGTTGTTAAAGAGTTTCAAGACATTTGCTTTTAAAGGCTTAATAATTCAAGTGTTTTGCTGGATTTCTTCTTGGTTTAGCTCTGTTTGCTAGCACTCTTGGATGACACATACAAGTGTACCAGGTGTCCCTTCGTTTTTTTAGTACCATAACAATTATGCATGTGCCAGAGAGTGCTTCTTGGCTTAACAGAGCTACCTAGAAGTTACAGCATCGGATACCCCAGGTAGGTGAATCATGGCAAGTATCCAGAAGGATAGAAGCAGTCCTTCCTCAAGCAGGAGAAACTGACAGACAGGAAAATCATAACTATAAGGAGAGAAAACTTATAGAAGTTGTGTCACCATGGCCCCAAGGTAATGTAGCCTGAGTTAGGAGTCTGGGATACTGATACTTTTAGGTATCGCATTTTCTCGTCAGTAGGGTTTTTTTCCCAGTCCTATATAAAAGGGCCCCTGTTCAGATGGTCTGTCACAGCTGATGAGAGAGGTAGACGTATTTTAAGTAACTTTTTTTTTTTTTAATTTCTTAATCTGACTTCAAAGGTTTTAATTCCTTAACAAGATTGCTTTTACAGAAATTAAAAAAAACCAAACTGATTTGTCTTACAGGTCATCCGCACATTAGATCCTAAACAGAACCAGGGTGCTGCTCCTGAGATTCAGGCACTGAAAAATCAGTTGCAGGAGCGGGACAGAATGTTTCATTCCCTGGAGGTAGTAATCCTTGTGTTTTGTGGTAAAAACTCATTGTTTTTTAGTTGGAGACAAATACTTCTATTATACTTCGGCTTTAAATATATGGATTTTTTTGTTTTATAGAAAGAATATGAGAAAACTAAAAGTCAAAGAGAAATGGAGGAGAAATTTATCGTTAGTGCCTGGTACAACATGGTAAGAATCTCACAAACCTTTTAATTCAAAAGAAAAAAAAAAGGAAAGAAGCTGTTAGTACTGTTTGTTTCTGGCATGTTTATAACAGCATTTTTTATTTACAGTATTTTTGAAAAGCGTTTTCCAGCACAAAAACACAGAAGCAAATACTTTTTAGTAATCTTAGGTTATGTTTATGTTAGAGTGTTTTCCTATAATAACCCTGTGGAAAATAAAAAAAGAAGTTTGTAATTTTCAAGTTTTAAAATCAGAAGTGGTTCAGATCACTATTTTGTAATCCCAGCCCTTCACTTAAACAATTCTGGTGCTCAAATTTATTTTGATTCACCACTCTCTCTTCCAGTTGTTTCTAATGAAGAGCACAATCCAAGCAATTCATCTTACTTGCAATTCAGTTGAAGTGCTCTGAGAAATGGTACCTTTAAGTTGGGTACAAATTTAGCCCCATACGAAGAGTGAGAGCATTGGCAAGACCCTCCCTTAAATTTTTCAAAGAATAAATTTGGATAGAAGATAGGGTCTGTGCAGCCTTACAGCTTTTGCTGGGCCTGTGTGCCAGGGGAGTTGTCAGCCGCATCAGATGTTTTCAAGACTTCCCTTTGGCAGATTGGTTGCTTTGAAACTGCTCTTCATCTGTAACTTGACATCTGCTCTGGACATCTCTAACTTTAGTGTTTCATTCTGCTCCACCATAGAATTCAAATTTCCTCCTCTCTGTATTCCTTTGGAAGAGTTTTCTTCTTGCTATTCTGCATCCTTCTTGCGTTCATGAATAGCAAATCTAAACTCAAGCAGACTGTTTGAACTGTTTACATGTTGAACGTATTTTCAAGTGACAAGTGTCCTTGGCCCATTTTACGACATTAGTCCCACTAACAAGTAGAAGACAAGCCTGAGGTAAGACCCACAGTTCAGTGATCTATCATGAACATGAAGATGGTCACTGATAGCTTTGTCTGTATCATTCTTTAATTAGTCTCTGCTTTTATACACAATGGTACAACCCACCAAAGCTTCCTTAATTTCCTTATTGTGTTTTTGCCTGATGAGAACATACTGTCTCCCAAGATGTGATTCTGACATATGAACTAGTGTTTCCACATGGGATTCAGAAGAAAAGTGCGTTTCTAGGTCAACATCCTGAAAGAAGCCAGGAACTGGGGGGAGCCCTTTTGAAAAGAATTGTCCAGTTGCCATGAGAAGCACGTATTGAGTTCTTAGGTGGTTACTCTAAACCTAGAGAATGATTGCAGGGAAGGGGAAGAGTTCCATACAAAGTATTAGGAAGAATATCTTACTTTTGTCCTTGAAAATATGATGCTTTGTGTATGGAATTCAAAATAGTTTAGTCAGTGTGGAGGCTGAAATAATGAACAAAATAATAAAGATGTTCAGTGGTTTTTATTGGTATTCACTGAGAATTTCTTTTTGTCCATAGGGGATGACTCTGCATAAAAAAGCAGCAGAAGACAGACTGGCGAGTACAGGCTCAGGACAGTCCTTCCTGGCTAGACAAAGGCAAGCCACGAGCACAAGGAGATCTTACCCTGGTCATGTCCAGCCAGCAACAGCAAGGTAGAGAAGCCTTGCCCTTAGAAAGAAAACTGCCCTGTGATCCAGGCCACTTCTATTGCAAGTGAAAACATTCAAGGAAAATAAACCAGCATCCTTTCTCTTTCTCCCTTGTTACTGCTATTATTTAACAGTTCAGGAAAGGGTTTTATTTTGCTTTCTCGTTGCTCTGTAATGCCCTTTGCTCTTATTTTTTTGGAGTTAATTTCTCTCTGCATTTTCTGAATGTGCCAAAATTGTGGAAACATCTGGAGGAGTGCTGTATAATAACAGTCTTATTTGTATGAAGCCTGGTCTCTTAGAAAAAACCTCATGTGGACCTTATAACAATGTAGATTTCTTATCACAGTTGCTACTTCTGTGCCTGTAAGGGTTGTTATGCTTTTTAAGACTGTTTTTGTTCAAAGGGAATTAGCTTTTTATTTCAACTCCTATCCTGTTGCTTCAGAAAAGTGCTGAAATCTCATTACAGAAATGCAAAGTTGGATTATAATATTATTGTGAAATATATTTCATACTAAAAAAACTCATCAATGCAAAAAAAGAAAGATTTGGGGTTATTTTTAATCTCCTAAGTGCAAAGTTTACTCTTATTCTTGGCATTTAGGGAAGCAGGATGATCTTTTTCCAGGTTTTTCTTTATCAACTGGTGTTGCCTCTTTTGCTAGTAGAGATAAATATTTTCAAATGGTTATTCCATTCTTCTTTGTCAAGTGTATGCTTAAATACATATTCTACATAGGTGGAGAAGTATTTAGCATGTGCTAATCTGCTACTCTATCATCCATTTTAAAAGGACATTTGTTTTAAAATTTTATGATTATGGATGAACAATACGTAATTGATCAAGGCCCCAGTTAATATTGTTAATGTATTCCAGTTATCATTCCCCACTAAAAGACTTGCTTTTAATATATTGATTCAGGGTATAATTGTATCAGTTGCCTTACTAATGGTACCAGTGCCTTCAGGTGAGTTTATTGCTGACTTTGTTGGAAACTGGCTGTGATTTGTTGTACTGCCTTTTTAGTGTACAGCTGATTAATTGTTGCAGTGCTTTCATGTTGATCAGTGGATGGAGGCTCCTCCTGTTTAGGTTCTGTTCCTACAAAGTTGCGCTTTTTTCCCTGATCAGTTCTATGCATTCCCTATCATTTTTGTCAAAGAATTGATGGACACATACAGACACAGAGAACCTGAGCATTGGCTGGAAGTTTCATATTCATACAACTTGTTGTGATTCACTTTTAAATTTGGAGACTGATTTTAAATTTAGATTTGTATTTTGAGACTATTTGGACTCTAATGCACGTGCGGTTGGTTTATAAATTTATTCTTTCATCTGATTTTAATGCCCTTCTAAGTGGAGACATTTATTTTTGCATCAATCCCCTTAGAGAAAAGATACTAGCCTTTATCAATCATCTGAATGTATGTTTTAAGTCAAAACATGGGTAGAATGAGCAATGGATAATTAAAACAAGCACACCTAGATTAAAGGGTAATAAACAAGTGATTGACGTTTTTAGGTACTGTTGTTTTATCCTCAAGTACATCATCTGTTTTAATCTGGGCTGAGAAATGCATTCAGCATGTGTCTGAAAAATATTTTCAGTTCCAGTTACGCCCCTGCCCCCCATAAAACAGATGTTGAATTCTACTTACAGTTTTGTCTTTTATTCCTCACATTTGGGAAGAAATAGTTTTCTAACGATTTTCTGTACTTATGCAGTGTATGACTGGTATGGGCTGTGCTTACAAAAATTAGATGAGACATTGCAAGTTTCTTGTGTGCAGAAAGTTAACAATGCAAAGAAAGTTATGGATAATTTCTGTAGCTCAGTGAGGTGATATACTCAATCTGCTGTCTCTTATTGAGATACAAAATGCTCTGTATACAAAATGTTATCTGTAATTATCTAGACGATTACAGTTTGTGTGGGATATCTTCTTCTGATCTTGTTGTGCAATCGATTTTAATAACTTGAAGAACTCTTTACCACATGCTATATGTGAACAGGAGCAAGGCCACTTCTCTGAGGAAATTAGATGTTCCTGTTTGAGGTTACAGCATTTTGTATCACCCAGAGCAAGAACTTAAGAATACCTAAAGCTACGTTTTCATTTTCATTTTAATCTAGCTAACTTCTTCTGTTACTAAGCTGCCAAGGGCTATTTGTGAAAGAAAGGGATGGAACCATAATGGGAAGTTTCATCAGTTAATTTTGTCAATTAATTTAATTACTTAATTGCTGTTAATTAGGTGTAGGTCTAAAAGAACTTGAACACAATCAGCACAATAGAATAAACGTAATTGCTTTTATTATGTTAATATTTGTTTTACTGTTTTGTCTCAAAAGTTTTGATGACAGGCTAATGCCCCTGAGGGTTAGGAGATGAACAGATGCTGGTTGGAAGCCTTGTCTTATGCTTTTACTTTCTAGTCTCTCATAGCTTCTTTTGCTTCTTGGTGGTTGTTGGCTTTTTTCTTCTTCTTTGTGATTCTGTCTTTCCTTTTCCCTTGAAGACACTGAAGTGTTTTCTATAGTTCTCTTCAAAAATAGATAGGAGCATTACATAGCATCAAAGAGCAACACAAAACTCATATTAAATCTGAGCTTTACTGTTGCTCATAGTAATTGTTATGCAAGTGAACAATCAATTTTCTTTGAGAATTTACAAACTTGCAGAAATTCTGGTATTTCCCAGAATTCGTGTTGAATATAAAATCTACTACAGTCGTACAGAAATATACTCGGTTGCTGTGTAGTTCTAGTAAGTCATTTGTTATGTCTTCTATTAGTAATTAAGAGGAGTTCAGTTCTTTATTCTTCAGTGCTTTGCTTCTTTAATTTGCTGCATACATCCATTCTTAATCTTTGTGTGTGGATGAATGCAAGCAGTGAACATCACTGAACCTTGTCTTTCACAAGAACAGCTTCTTTATTCAAAGGCTTCACTTTCATTATTTTGCTTGCTTGTTATGTATCTTTGTAAGCAGTGTATATTAAGAAAAAGAAGGAGCTCAGACTGTGACTCCCGGACATAAACACATATATAGGGGAGTTACCAGTGTATGTTCTATTTGTATTACCTTGAGTAATAAAAGAATGTAAGCAGAACCCCCAACCTATGGAACAGAATTCTCTCAATACATTAGACAATTCTGAGAAGTTTTTAGGAATACTTCTTTCCCCTGAGACAAGAAAGACTTTTTACATCAAAATTTTGTAGTGGTAATTATTAAGCCAGTGCTATATCCTGTCCTGATACACTACAGAGAAAAAACCCTACAATGGAGCTTAAAGAGAAAAGGTTCTCCAGGTCAGAGATAAAACAGTTGAGGAGTTCATTAGAGTATTTTTCTGGGCACTGTGCTGAGGATCTGCCAGAATAATCTCTCTGACAGATTTTAATCGATCCAAATAAAAGAAAACAGATAAATGGATAAATATTTTCATAGTTTAGAGCTGAAGCTTAGTTTCTGACCTAAAAGGATGTGTTCACATGTGCAGTCCAGTTCATGTACTTCTGTGGAGAGTTGAATTTTTAGCATAGCTGATGGGACATTACAGAAAAAAGAAATTCAAGTTCCCTGTTTTCTTCATAGCAGCACATAACCACTTGGATCATAACTTGTATTTTCTAAGTGAAACTGAAGTAATCTAATTTAAATTGTGTATTCCATCCACAGTGCAAAGGTAAATACATGTCTGGAATATATGACTTTGTGTATTGCAGAATGATATAAATATAAAATGGCTACAAGATGCCTTTAATTTTGTTTGGAAATAATCAAATGGCAGTCTTGTGCTGTTCAGGTGTCACTTGCATTAGCAGTAATGTTTCTGCAAGTTTTTTGTGGCTCTCTGTTTTAGAAGGAGCACTGACATTTTTATATGTGTATGAAAGAATGAACACTGAATATTCCTATTACTGTTTTATTATGATCTCAAATAGGAAGTGGTATGTGTAAGCTGTTGAAAAAATTTAAAAGCTTTTTGTCAATTTTAAAGTCCTTGGTATTTCGACATGTGCAAGTAGATTTTGCTTTTCCTGTCTTCTGTAGTTTTTGAGACTGCACACTTAACAGTTTCTTGAATGATTATGCGAGGGTTTAATTGTCCTGATGTGTTGGCATTTTCTGTAGATTTGGTAGTTGTAAGATATTTTAATGTCACCACTTGATTTTCTTCTAGTTAGTGATCTGGAGAAAGACTATCCTGAATGTGGCCAACTTTCCTTTTCCTTACGAAGTAAAACAATATTTCAGTTTTACTTATTGTATAGAGATTTTTTATTCTTACCCAACATAATGACTTTTTGCAAGGATTGATGAGGGAGGTATTTTTGCACTTAGTCAGCTATGCAATACTGACTTCTAATGGGTTTTTGCACATGTGTTTTAGGTAGAATGTGGATTATATATTTTGCAGTAAGATTGTATTGATAAGCTTCAATATCTCCTAACCAAATTAAGCAGGCATTTCCCTTACCTGGCATTGCATAAATAAATAGCTGAAAGGATTTATCAGGATATACTTCCAAGTGATGAGGTTTTTTGGAGCAAATGTCATATTCTAGGTAGGATCCTAGCCATGCCTCCAGTTTGTCGCTCTTAAGGAATCAAGAACCTATCCTGGTATGGCTGATTGGATTATCTTATTCCTGTGGTCTTTCTTCCCTGTGGAAGTCCAGAAAAGTAGCAGAAGTTTGTCAGTGATCCTGCAGGCTATAACTAAAAATAAGGTGGGATTTCTTTGGCTTGAAAATGGGGAGGCTGATGCAAGTAACTAGTCAGTACAAAAATCAGAAGAGCATTCTTTCACCATTTTGCATTTTGGTTTTCATTTAAAAAAGGTGAAGAACCTGAGCTTATTGAGCTAGGTTTTCATCTTTTTAATTAAATTTTATTTTTAATTGAGTAACTGTTAGAGATTTTACCCATGTATAAGGCAAATCTGTAATTATCAACCACCGCAACCTCAGACTTCTTGTATCTGGTACAGTGAAACCCTGTAAATTTTGACTCTGCTTCCATCTCCATTATACCATTTGGAGGTGCTGAAGACTTAGCTAGCTTCATCCTTAAAGCTGTTTTTGCTTTGATCATATTTTTGTGTCTTCATTAAGTTTTTGGGATGTAAAGTTAATTTTTAAAATGCATTAGCTCATTGAATTAGGCAATGAATGAATGTTGATTGGGGGGCTCTAGGAAACTTGACAAATCATCCTGTCCCTTGGGGCATTGAAACAGCACCTGACAGAGTAGCCAAGACAGCTTCCCAGATAAATTGTCCTGGTGTCAGATTGTAGTCAGTCAGTAGGAACTTGTGCTGACTGCAGTAATTTAAGTCCTCTTCTGCTGCGGGATGGTGCTGCTGTCAGCTTCACTGTAGTCCAGATTCCACCTACACCTTTAGGCCTTGCTAAGTTAGTACAGGACTATCTTGAAGTATATTTCTGCATTAGTTGGCTCTAGTGGTAAATCAGGAGTTTGCTGCTGTTTGCTGCACATGTAAAGTTGTTTGGAAAACTGCATATCCTTTAGTCCCCTTTGCATATGGTCAGTCATATTTTCAGTAATTTCCAGACTGGAAACAGATTCCATTTGTCAAATAAAAATGTCTTGTGGCTATCTTGCTGTTGTGGATCTCAGAGTCTGATCCATACAACAATAAAAATACTGTTAGTAGAGGGAAATACAGGTAAGTTGGGCAGCCTTTTCTTCCTGGTGCTGACTTTATTCATTGCTTTGCATTAGAGAGGTCCTTTGCAATCAGATGAGGTGATTTCAGAAGGAGGAACATGGTTGTTTTAATTGTTAAAAAAGCAGACATTTGTCAGCACTTTGAAGAGCTGCTAACTGCTGTAGCATGGCACAAATCTGAAACACTGCAAAAGCGAGTACTTGCACAGGTATAGAGTAGTTCTGGAAATGGAAATTGAATACCTAATGATTATACCTAACTTGAAAAGAGTTAGCATAAAGTCCAGTTGTTACTGTTAGATAGTGTTAGACTGATCATGAAAGTGAATGAAATTTTAAGAGAAAATTCCCAGTGGTGTAGTATTTATGGAGTTATAAAATAGTTGTAATGAGACCATCAGACTTTTGATTTGGATTTGAATATAACATCAGTTATATAATTTAAAATATTGTAAAGCAGAGGTTATTGTTCACAGCCACAAAAGGTTAGCAAGCTGGAGAGTAAACTTATTTCCTGGAGGCATCAGTGGTTTTGAGAGAGATTTTAAAGTTTTTGTTTACCAGTATCAATAAAGTCTTGGAATATTTATAAGTATTACATTATAAAGCCACAATTTTAAAAATTTATAACCTGCTTTGTATGCTCTTTGTCACTCCTCCCTAGACACATTGTCTGTGCATAAACTGTCTCCTTCTAAAGATGCTGCAGATGCAGTGACAGGTTATGCTCAGTGAATTTACTCACATCTTGCATCTCTGTTTTTTTCTATGTGTTACTGCCTCAACAAGTGGCTTTAAAATAGAGAAATTAACAGACAACTATTTTTAGAACATGGTAAGAATTTCTAGTCAGTAAAGAGCAGTAACAAATGAATTTTTACGTCCTTGAAAGATAATACCATGTCCTGAGTTTACAAGACCTCTCAGAAGTACTATTGACTCAGAGAGAAGCCTGAAGCGTCACTTCTGTGTATGTGCAACGTACACTTGAAGGACACTTGAAGTTCTACTAAATAGTAACTTTGAGCTAAATAATAGCCAGCTTAGACTAAAGGAGTAGATTATATTCATTTATACATGATAGAATAGGTACATGCTTATGTAGCTTGCACTTTTTTTTTTTTATGGAATAACTACAGTGATCTTCATGTTAATCCTGAACTGTGTAACTTTATGCACCAAGCAGTGCTAAGCAAGCTTAAAAGACAATGATTGCTTAAAATACACACCCTCAAGATCTTTGAATGTGTTGAATGTGTTAAGTTTTTTTTATTCCATTTGATATGTGTCTCTGTGTTTCTATTAGTTTTTCAATTCTGGTTAGTGTTCTGGGTGGATGAATGAGAAGGAAAAAAAGAGGGATACACAAGCTACAGGATATGTAGCATAAATTCTTCTCTTTTTTATCTATTTAACCTGGATTGTCCCATCACAAGAAGCATTCTTAGAATCATTTTTGACCAGTGCAATACAAGGGAGAAGGAAGTGGGGAAACAGGCTCTAATTTCAGTCTGGTGAAGCCAATTTACTCTTTGCAATATGAAAACAAAAATGCCCATTAATGCTATGCCAGTGCAGTGTAGGGAGATGTGTGTTACTTGGGCAAAGTGGAAGCACCGTAGCTGTGTCAGTAAAGCATTCCATTCCAGTTACACTGGCCCAGAAAAAGGGTGCATCAGTGAGGACGGAGAACTGTGCCAGCGTCTCCGATTCTCTTCCAAACTTAGATTCCCTTCTGTAGCTTTATGGAGTGCTCTCTTAACTGCTCGGTGACTCTGACTCGGCTTACTTTAACAAGAACACATATCATTTTCTGGCAATTCAAACCTGTATTTGCCTGCAAGGGATAGAAGTTGCCAGTGCAATGGGGCAGTGATGCTGAGCCTCATGCACCACAGGATGAGCTCTGATGAAACTTAAATGCCTTCAGTGGTGCTCAGAGCTCAGGAGTGTTGTCATGACTCTGGTTATCTTTTAGCATGTAAACACATGCAGAATTGGGTGGGCACCTTTCACTTTATCTTGCTTTAACAGTTGTACTCACAGACAGCAGGAATGCCTGAGACTTGCTTATTGCTGTGTAAACTTACGTGCCATAGCTTTATTAGTTAAGAATGGTGCCCTGAAGAATTTTATTCAGAAGTGTGTAAAGTTTAATTACAGCTAAATTTAGATATTGGCCAAGGCTATTTTGTTGCTTTTTCCAATTATTGGCCTGTAACCTTCCTGTTAATTTAAACAGTTGCTTGGCAAAAGTGTTTTCCCCGTGAATTTGCACAACTCTTAAGTGGCCTTACTAAACTGCTTTTAAAAAGACCTGTTCTGTTCTCTGTTTTGTTTGGGTTTTTTTCAACGATAATATGTTATCTGCTTTTTAACTTTCTTCTTTATTCTTTTATTTGCAGTGATGTGGTTGCATGACCTGCAGCATTATTATAACAGGGACTGTTCAGTGCATGACTTGCTTTTCTGTCCAGACTGCATAACCAAAACTTAACCAGTTCTACACTTAAGACTCATGGCCATCTGATTTCAAAGGGGGATCTACTTGCAGAGAAGCTTACCATCCTGGGGAGTGGCTTTCCCATTTCCCACTTCCACTTACTCTTTCTCTTCACAAAAAGTCTCCTATGAGGCTAGAAGAGAAGAAATCCTCTATTCACAACTCAACAGGAGGCGTTCTGCAAACTGACAGAGCACTGTCAGCTCTCCATCTTACTTCCACCTGTCCACTTTATTTAATTCTGATTAACAGTATTAACACACAGACTTCCTGCAACATTTTCATATACCGAACTATAAAAATCTAGTCTTAATGAGTTCCCAAAAAAGGCCTTTTGGTTGGAAATTTTGTTAAAATTTCAAAGCACCTGCACCCTTAAAGGATCCATTTTGAATCTTTAAACAAATAAAGTAAAGCGAAGGAGGTGTTTTACCAGGAGAAATTGCTGCTTGGCGATCCCATCTTCCTTAGAAAACCAAGCAAGTTTCATCTGATTATCTCCGAGCCAGGCAAACTACCGGGTGGTATTTTGTTCACAGGCACTGCCTGCTTCCTTAATATGTATATACACAGTAGTTTGTGGCTGTTGTATTTTTCTCTCTACATTTGAGTGTTGTTGGTTTCTTTCAGAAACATTTTTTCCAATCTGTGTAAAATTGTTAAAACAATCTGAGGAAAGACCATGAATGGAGATAAGTATGAAAGTCATCTACACTTTCAGTATTATGCAGACTGTCCTTGCCAGTTTATAATTTGGATCGTTTATGTTTCATCTGTACTATTTTTTTCCTTTCTTTTTTCTTTCTCCTGTCACAGTCTTAGCTATTTAATTTCCAATTGCACTAGCTTGGCTGTTTCTTTGTATTTTGAAGTTTAGCTATAAGATTTGCCATATGTAGACAGTGTAACTCAAAATGCTTTGTACTGCCTATATTAATTTAAAAAGCTGCTTATTTAATATTCCTAAATATCTGCACATTTGTACTACTGTATCTTTGTTTTGTATTGGACATCCAGTACTGGCAAGATTCAGAAGACGAGGGAGTGCTGTAGTGTTGTAAGTTAAGGGGTTTATATTGTATAAGAGTTAGTACGTAACAAACAGGGAAAGGGGCTTTCAAGCCATAGGATTTGCTGGAAAAACTGAAAAGTCTGAATGCCGAGTACCTTAAGCGGTTTGATTTAAATCCAGTTACAGAGAAACCCCGTTTCTTGCTCACCTGGGCCTTAATCCTGGCAGAAATATTGCTATGAACTCTGCTGCCTCCAGGAATAGTTTTGTTTATTTGAGCAGTAGAAGAGCCTCCAGCCCTGTTTGCCGTGGGGGCGCCCCCACGCTGAAGAAGCGTTGTGTCCGCTTGTCTCTGCAGTCGCTCCTGGTCACACACACAGTGCCTGCCGTGTCTCTGGCCCGTCGGGTGGGCTCGGACAGAGCCACGCCCCACGCGCCGAGACGCCCGCTTGTGTCCAGTCCTCAGGGATCCTGATCCCACGGTGTCCGTGGCCTTGTGCAGAATGACATGGAGAAAGGACAGACGTGTGCCCCACCAGAGAGAGGTGGCCTGCGCCGCCTGGCAAAGGGATGGGCAGTAAGAATGGGCTCCAAGCAGGCCAGGCAGCAGAGTGAAGGATAAAACTAGGATCCCAGTGAGAGCTGCGGTTGTTTTCCCTTCTGGATACTGTATCAGGTACTGAGGCTACCAGGTGCTCTGGCTGACAGGTGTCCGTAAAGGCTTCAGATGGGGATATATGTCTTGGTCCACAAGGGCCAGGGACAGTGAAGTCTGACGTGACCTGCAGCCAGGATCTGGGGTTTGGTAATTACTGCATGAGTCAAGTACTCGTGCAGCAGAGGCAGCAGCATTTCATCAGACTGAGTCCAGCAGAGAGCTGAAGGATTTGTGTCTTTCCAGGTCCTAGCCATTGATCCCTTGTTATGTGTCAAGGCAAGCGTTACTAGTAAAACTTCTTTTAGTTGAGTGTTAAAGGCATGTTTTTCATTTGCAAGTGCTGCTTCGGCAGGGACCACACCCTGCCCCAAGCCAGGCTGGGTGCAGGATCCCTGAAATCAGGGCACTGTGCTAGGCAGGAGGGGATTGCTTTTTTTGTGCACCTGCCACCACAAGTGTCCCAAAGTGATGCCGAGCAGTACCTCATTTCTCTAAGTGGTCTGTGCAGATTAGAGACTAAGTATCAGTTGTTCTTGAGCCTTGATGACATTTGTATGTAAGTGTGTTTAGCTTGACAAAAGTTGTTTATTAATGCAACAGAGAGATGCCAGGTGGAGCCAGTCAAGGAACTGGCTACTTTGATTAGCCTGGCATCTCTGTCATGAAGTGGTTGTGAGCTCTCAACTCAGAGCTGATCTCCAGCATGTCTCTGATATACTAACTTCATTTGTGCTGCCTAGAAAACTCTCTTACCTTCTTAATAGCAGCTTGTTTGACAGTCCTGAATTAAATGTTGATCAATTATCAAAGTAATAACTGTTTGTGAAGTTGCCAGTGATATATTTTCTGTAAAAGAATGAATTCTTAGAGTGTCAAAACATTAATTTCCCATTTCAGTTCATCTACAAATTGTGTAACTACCAGATTGTTATGGTAGCAATATTAATATACATACCTGTATATAGACAAAAAAACCTCATTAATGATAATTGGAATCAAAAAGTTTAATATTTTTTCCCAATCAAATACACTAATGCTTCCAAGGTGATAGAAGAGTGTACAGTTGTTAAACAAGTTGTAAATAAACGCTTATATAAAACATAAATGCTTGTGTCTCCTTTATTTGGTACTTGGTTGTGAACTGCATTTCCTGGGGCTCTGCAGAGGACGATGAGTGGCAGGTGGGGAGCACCAGTGCGTCAGAAAGCACAACATCCTCACTTCTGCTGGGACACATCTCCTCTGGCTGCCTGAGGTGCCTGTCATGGTTTGTTTCTCCGAGGGTGAAGCCTAAATGACTGAAATAAGAACATTTTCCTTTGCCAATGGAAGCTTCCCAACAGATGTCACCAAAAATGGAGTAAAGAGGCACTGCTACTGTGTGCAGAAACAACGGTCCTTCCATCCTGCACTGATGACCAGCTCTGGCATCAGGGGTAGAAGGAGGCCTGGGTCAGAATGGGCAAATGGGAAAGAGAAGGCAACAGCTCACCAGAGATACTGAGCCCATGAATGTTGTGTGGGATGCTGGGATTAAGAATGATGTGCAGGGACCCTGGCACAGCCTTTCAGGGGCTGCTCTGTAAAAGGAATAGGATCAGAAAGGGGAGGGTGCCCTGGTGGCAATGCTGCCAGCCTGATAGTGACTGGAGAGCTTGTGAGGCTGAGGGCAGACTGGGGTGAAGTGTTTGCTGTCTGGGAAGGGCAGGAGAGCCCCAGAGGTTGTGGCCTGCTTCCTCCTGCTTCACAGGCAGTGGACGGTGGAAGCAGGAAAGCTGCCAGAACCTCACTTCTAGCTGTTTGTAATTCACTGTGGTCCTCTGCCCTCCTCCTGCCCACCTGTCACTCCTCTTCATCTTTGGCATGACTGTAGTGTTTCCTGCCTCTGACCATCATTCCCTGCCCTATTGTTTCCCTCACTCTTAACCTCTCCTAACTTTTGCTATACATCTTTTTCCTTTCCCAGCTCTCCCACCTCGCAGTGTGCTGAGACCCACATTGGTATCCCTCATACTAACCTCCACAGCTCGTTCTCTGCTCTGCTCCCTGACAGCTCCTTCAAGGCCATGACTTAGACTCCACGTGGTACTGGGGGAATTGTGCCACTGGCCCCCTGCTCCATGTTGCTCCTCCACAGGTGCTGGCCCAGCAGGGAGGATGCAGCTTTGCAGGTTCTCTTCTGGTGGTACCTCTTCTCCACACCCCACAGCTGCAGGGCCCTGCTTTTGGCACTGTGACACAAGTTTATGTTGCGTTAGATGCTGCAGGATGTGACAGCCAGTGCTGAGTTAAAAAGTGTGGTGGAAGCACACTCCAGCAGCTGCACAGTTTCCTCCTACAGTTCCCCTTTCCTACTCTTTTTGAGCACCTGTATACTGTGCACATGAAGTATAATAAACGCTGTAAATAAATATTCGTGCCCACCAGCCTGTCTCAAGACCCTTTCCTCTTCCTTAGGAGGTAAAACAATTAAACAGCCTCCAAACAGCACAGCACCCATGTGGCAAAGCAGGCTGACCAGAAGTGAAGGACAGCTATGCCAGGGAAAAGCAGATAAAGTGATGTAACTGGAAAATGTTCACACAATGAATGCACACACTGCTTCCCTGGTTTAAGTCTGAGAGCCCCAGGAGGCCGTGAAGCCTTTCTGCCTCCTGAGACTTCCTGTTGGTAGCAGGAAATGGTCTTTTGTCCTTCACACCAGACAAGTGTTTCAAAGCTGCAGCCGTGCACATATCTAGATACAGTTTGGTTTCTGCGCCAAACTATGCTGTCCACAAACGTAACAGGGAGCAAACTCTATGCCAAGATGGAAACACAACCTGAGTGAAGGGGAGAGAATGGAAGTTCCCCCAACTGTCAGTGCTAGGGAATTGATCAAAGCAATTACAAGTAAAACACGAGCTGGATGCTTTTTCACTGCTTATCATACCACCATGTGCAAGAGCCTTTCTTTGTCTTTTACACAAACATTAAAAAGATTCCAAAAATCAACAGAGACCTCTTATTAAAGCAGATCAGAAGTTACAGACCACACCGATATTCTAAAAAGCTTGGCAGGGACTTCACAGTTTCAACTATTTTCCCTACCACTTTAACATACAAAATAGTGGAATACCTGAATGCCTTTCTGTCTGCACCATCCCCAACAACGACTCCCTGGCAGCCCTCACCAGAATGGAACCTGGCACACCGGCGCTGAGCGGACAGGAAAGGATACGGCACGCTCTGGAGCAGCACCAGCGATATGCATGGGGGTTGCTGCCTGATAGGACAGCACATCACAGAACACACACAAACGGCACACTCACACTGCACAGGGACAGAGCACACAGCACACACACACACACAGCACAAATACAGAGCACACACACAGCACACACACACACAGAGCACACACACACACAGAGAACACACACACACACAGAACACACACACACAGAACACACACACACACAGAGCACACACACACACACAGCACACACACACACAGAGCACACACACACAGAGCACACACACACAGAGCACACACACACAGAGCACACACACACACCCAGCACACACACACACAGAGCACACACACACAGAGCACACACACACAGAGCACACACACACAGA